TAAACATACCTACATATGTACATCTACATACATATTCCCACAAATAAATAAATATAAACAGTCAGATATATTATTTTGATAGATGCTGTTTTACATATAATTTAAATTTATTGACATTATTAGTAAGCATGATATGTTTTGGCAGTTTATTCCATTCCTTCATACCTCTGAACACAACAGTGTTTTTTATGGCATTTGTTCTTACTATGGGTAAGGTGAAGTTACCTTTAGTTGCATGTCTGGTACTCTACTGATGATTGTCTACACTAAAAGAAAGATGCTTGAACAAAGCAGAAGGAAATTTTGAGATAGAAATATTTCTTATGAAAATTAACAGTGAATACAACAGTCTATCTTCGACCAACAACCATTAAGATCTTTGTGCATTAATATAATATTTCTCCTATAGCTGCACCTAAGTGCTACACGAGCAGCTCTATTCTGTATAAGTTGTAATTTATTCATATATTCACCAGTGGCATTTGACCAAACTGCTGGGCAATAGTCGAGATATGTCAATATTAGTGCTTTCATCGCATAATTCATAATATTTGAAGTAAAAAAATGTGCATGTCTTCTCATAATAGATATACCTCTTCCCATTTTTGCAATAATATTACTAATATGTTTTTTCCATGATAATCTAGAGTCAACTATTACACCCAGCAGTCTGGTCTCATGCACCTGTTCAATAATTGCGTTATTAATTTTAATATTAATTACAGGATTTTGATTAATGTTATAATTTGAACCTAAAATCATGCAGTTAGTTTTTACAGTGTTTAATGTCAGTTTATTTAATTTGATCCAATCTACTACATATTGTAATTCTTTATTTAAAACAGTTTCTAATTCCATTTGTGTGCTTGCTGATGTATATATAGTTGAATCATCAGCGTACATGACAATGTTAGTCTTATGTAAAATATACGGTAAATCATTAGTAAAAATATTAAATAATAATGGACCCAGACAACTGCCTTGGGGTACTCCACATGTAATATTTCTGATACCTGAGAGACTGCCATTAAAAAACACTGTCTGTGTTCTGTTTGACAAGTAACTGTACATCCATGTGATTGCTGATTGCTCAAAACCATAACAAGATAATTTTGTTAATAACAGGTCGTGATCTATGATGTCAAAGGCAGCAGAAAAATCTAAAAATACAGCACCTGTAATATTTCTCTTTTCAGTCTCTCTAAGCCAATCATCAGACATGTGAGTCAGTGCAGTGGCAGTGGAGTGACTTTTTCTGTATGCATGCTGAAAATCTGTTAATAAATCATTTGTATAAAAATAGTTATTAATTTGATCGTATACCATAGATTCCATTATTTTAGATAATACAGGTAATATACTTATCGGGCGACTGTTGGGACCAGAGAAAGGCACTTTTTGGAGTGAGACAGCAATAAAACCAGACAGTGACGCTATATTGCATACACCTCATCGATTTTTTTTTTAAGTGCCTGTCTGACTGTTGCAGCATAATTAGGACAGTCCAATAGTTATTCTCTCCATAATAGCACTGCACTATTTTAGAGCAAAATTATAACCCAGCCATCACTATGCCCAAAACAAACCTCATTCAATCAGGACGAGCTCACAACAGAAATAGAGCACTACTGGTTATGATACTGATTCTAAATGACCTATTAGCAGTTGTGTAGTATTTCAAATAGTCAACTGTTTATTGATTAATTGCTGTGTGCTTTAGTGGTTACATCTTAGTTTTGTTGATGTTTACTCATTGGAGCATGTTTGTTATAATGTATGACTGCGGTAGAATTTTGTTTATGTCACAGATGTATTTTTAAGAACAAATATCTTTCTGATAGTGTGAACCCCATGAACTGGAGAGATAGAACAGACCTGAAGTGCTTTGGTATGTCAATTTTTTTTTTTGGATGAAATGTAGGACGACTGTCTGCAAAGAGCTTCAACAGCAACTTATCACAGTAAGTGGAAGACTATCTGAACAAAGCACTATCTGTGTGTGAAAGAGTGTCTGTATGCTCATGAGCATGTGAAGTAGCCTATAGCTCTGGTCACGTGTTCCACAGACAAAAATGACGAGGACATCTCATACGGTTGCTGCGCCTCGAATTCCCTCACAACCAGTGAGCAAAAAACATACCGTACACCTGACCTCTGGTGTTTTATTCTCCCCCTATTCTGTAAATTTGTTCATATTACTCACCCTTTCACTTTTCTAGAGGGACATTAGTCATCAGTTTTGATATATTTTTGATCCTAAGTGAAAGGCTTTTCACTTGTATCCCTAGAATTCCTCATTAACATTTACTTCTTGAATCCAAAATGAGGAATACAACAGTACAAATAAAATAATGCATATTAGAATGACAGAATTGGGCCCGATCAAAACTGATGTTGGCCTGTTTCATCAGCTAATAGAAGATACGAAAAGTAGTGCTGCCATCTGCTGGACATTGTTATTAAATTAATTAAACAAATGTCAAAAAGCCTGAGGAGTAACTGGAAATACAGTTAAAGTCACAAAGACCACCTATTCAATAATTTAAAGAAAAATGCATTTTCGGAGAAACACAGGGCTGATTAATCTGTAACGTTCTGATGAATCTGTGACAGATTTTGTGACAGGCCACCTAAATAAATCACATAAACATCACAATAGATACTCAGACTTTGAGGATTTACAGATCCTGTTGAACAGTTAAAGTCCCTGGAAAAGCTTGTTAAAGTTTAGTACCTGTCCTCTGGGATGGTCTAGAGTTGTAGTTTGTTTCTTATGTTTCTTGTTTCTTATCTAGGTTAACATCTCATTGTAAGGTCAGCTGGGTCCCTTTCAAGCGCTCAATCCCTCTATTGATGTGCTCTTGTGAAGGGTCTGGAGCCTGCAGCCATTGGTGGCCTTTCATTCAGCAAATGTAAGAAAAAAACACCAGGGAAGATTTTCTAAAGTAAGCTATTATTACCATGACTTCATGTGATTTAATGCAGACCAGTTTAATTATATTATGTCACTGTTACTTTCTTCACTTTCATCACATCCTGTAGGCCGCCCCTTACATTTTACCATCAGCTACTTTATAGATTATTATTGTACAACCATAATAAATGTGAATATGAGATTTCCTTTCTTATAGCGTTTTTCTTTCATTTTGGCCGATTAATTTCTCTGTTGTTTTATACTAAATGAAACCTTTTCATTTAAACTGACTCTTGAATTTCATTTTCTCATCTATTGAGCCACAATCACTTGGTTTTATAATAAGGCACCGCATGCTCATACTCAAATCGTTCTAGCAACTTGACTTTAACTGTAACTGATGGGTAATCAAATCACTCCATCTCAGAAACTAAATAAAACAATAAAACATGGGCATGGGTCGGTAAACACCACTTAGACATCTAAAAATAAATGCTTAAATGTAGCTCATATACATATTATGCTCATATTAAAAGAATTGAAGTTAATGAAATTGTTTGGGATAATCATTTTGAAATGATTTTCTCTCTGAATGTTCAGTCATCAGATGTAGAATGAGCTGCATAAACATGAAGTCCGTCTGAGATGTTTGTTTCGGTGTTGCACGTGAAAGAAGGATGTGCACACAGCCTGTGACAGCGTCGGGTTAATTGTTAGCTGCTCAGATGCCACCCAGATTGTGTGTGTAATTCCTGCTGTTATAACTTGAAGATTCAGATCTGAATTTGGGATAAGAAGGAGCCCATCTAAAGGTAAGGAATCCTGTAAAGAGTACACTGTATTTGTACAGTTTTTAAGGGTACCTGCCATTGGCTTGCATGTCCTTGGAAGTTCCTTCATGAACAGATATTGGAAGTACGAGAATAATGTTGCTTTTGGAGGAAGTAGATCAATGCTGTGATGTGTCATTCAGTCATTAAATTTTCACTTTGCTTAATATCTATGAGGACCTGTTAATGCTGATTTCTTTTTTAATTTAAGGTTAACTCATGTTGATCATTTTGAAGATTGGCAATAAGAAGTGATGCTATTTGTCTCATTTATAGCAAAATGACAGCTATATGAAAAGTAATTACGTTTTGGATGTTTGTGTTGGGTTGTATTGGTCTGTATTCGTGTCTATAGGTTGCGGTATGTGGAGGCTAGGAATTGTTGAAACACTGGGATTAGTTATATAGTAACATAGTAAGTTGCTGGAAAGTTAGAGCTGCGCTGTCATTTGTGTACATAGGAAAACTTTGGACACTCGGTTACAATTAACATTGGGTTATGTTAATATATTATGTATTAGCTATCCTGAACTAACAATAAACAACCTTCTTACAGTGTTTATTATTCTTCGTTGTTCATTTCTACACACAATTTGCAACAATTCAAGTTGAATAAATAAACATTTATGAATATATTACAAACAAACATGAATAACAATAAGCTATAGTACATGTATGAATTAACATTATACTAGAATAATAAATGCTGTAAATTGCCAGGAAAAGGGAGAAAAGTACTTTTCATATCAGTATTTTTAATACCACAGCAAGCTATTAAATGCCTGACCCCCTTTGAAACTAGAGATACATCTCATTGGCCAGCTTTTGAACTCGACAAATGAAAAGGGGAGACAGTAGAGACGAGTACATCAATCAGAGAAGCTCTTCTTGACTGAAATGTATTTATAATGGAGATCAGGGAGCTTACACTGCTTCAAGTAGGCTATTTACAGGCCTGTATTTATTTAAGAAATGGCCTGTACTGAGTTGCATTGGCAGCGCTTTTGATCTGAGACGGTTCTGTGTTCTGGTCAATCCTTGGCTTCTGTCACCCACTCTTTCCAACCAAACCATATCAAGTGTCTCTTTCAAAGGAGTATTGTGTTGGTCAGAGCCTGCTCACCTCTAGCCAATCCTGGTCCCTCTCCTCCTTCTTGTCACGTGTTTTCTTCAATCACGGTCAGCCAGGAGAATAACTGAACATTGAAGGTTCCACCCACTTTTGTTGGTTATTAAACACATGAATTTGCAAATGGATCAAAACTTTTCTGCTGGAAAAACTGAAAGCATTGCAGGTTTGTCTTTCGCCTCACGCCTCGAGTTAAACATGATTCTCATGTGACGGTGGAATTGGTGGCACAGAAAGTAAGCTTGAGTTAACCTAAAGTTTGTCTTTGCTAACTGCACCTGAAAAATGTTCACTCAGAAAAATATATTTAATGCATTATAATTTTTGTTACAATATTGTGACTTGTTTATTGTGAGTAAATATTTTCTACAAGTATGATAAATGTTTGGCAGAAAAGGAAACAGTCTTCTTAACTGAAGTATTGATGTGTGTTTGTTTACACTCTAAATCTTCATGTTAAGTGAGAGTATTTATAGGGTTACATAATGGACCATCAAGATAATGGCAGCACGGATGGTCCTATTGACTTTTGACAGTCTCCAAATCAATTTTTTCAGTAGATTTAGTATCAGTGGCTGCTTGTGGACATCAGCCTGACTGTCTTAATTGTAGATGAGATACAATATTTTCTTATCTGTGTAGAACGAGAAAGCAAATTCTTTAAAATTGGCAAAGGTCTATTGATGACTTTATTTGCACAAAATGTATTTGACTACCTAATGCATAAATAAATGGACCTTTAAGAGAAGTTTAATCATAAACTTATCATAAATAAATAATGTATGTGAATTCCTCTACTGAGTTTACAGCAGTATTTTAATATTTGTTATTTGTGTCCTCGTTTTCCTTCAGATTTTTTATTTTTTTTTGCAGTCAATTCTAGTCTTTGCTTCTTGACTATAGTATAAACTGAACCTTTGACTATTGTACTGCAGTTGCTAGGAGACAAAATTGAAGTGCAAGTGGAGCAGATGTTATATGTATGAATAAAAAGATCTTTCAGAGAGCCCATAACACGTTGACGCTCATTCACCTGCATTAGCAACACTTAAAGCATTATAATGTCTTTAAACATTAACTTGGCCTTTAGGATGCTTGAAGTAATCTGACATGATGAACTACACTAGCAAGAACAAGACATCAGAACAACAAGAATAAAAGTGCTATATTCCCTAGATTTCTATCTGTCTTTTAGTTCAGGTTCAGGCTTAGTAATTTTTGTTCTTTTTATTTATTAATTAACTTATTATTTATTTTAATTTTTTTAAATTGATCATCGTAATAAATGTAATTAGGTTTATAAGAAAGAGTATATTATAGTTTTGTATGTATTTATTCAGGCTGACTGCACAAAGTTAAAACTGAACTGTTGACCCTGTGAATGATGGATGAGGAGCTGAAAACAGCGAACACTCACAATGGGAGCATTCCAGAGGCTTTGAAAACTAAAAAGCACGAGCAGCCAAAAGCAGCAGCTCTGCGTCAGGATGTGAGTATGAGAGAATGAGGCACATTACACCAAAGAATGTGAATAATGTTCAGTGATCAATGGTTTCCGTCCAGAGTCGATGCGATGCGTGTGAGTAAGTGTGTGAAGGGTTTAACTGTCTGTGGGTTAACCTGGCAGTGCCTGCCACCATCACTACAGTGTAATCCCTTCCTTTCCTGACCCATCTGTCCGAGCATTCTTCTGTCTTTTGTAGCTCTCATTAATGACAAGTTTAACTATTTATATGTAAATCTGCACATATATGACATGGAAGGTCTATTAATATGAATCACTTTAAGTAGTTATTGCAACCCTTGTTCTTTATGACCTTATATTCAGAGAAAACAATCAGGCAATATAAATAGAAGCCTCATCTTTCCTGTGTTAAAGTGGAGTGATATCATTTAGATCATTGTACATTTATTGGTAAAATGCCAGTTCTATAAAATAAAACAGTAAAAACTAAAATCAGTTATTTAAATGCTAAATGTGAATTTAGACATTAAAACAGTATGTGCGGTATAAAAAATGATGTTTATCTATGTCAGAGATTTGCTAAATTATTAGTGTTTTAAGGATGAACTTTAATGGCAAAGGTAACCTAAATGTAAAAATAGATCAAATGAGCAGATATACAATCGGTATCCAGCAGATCAGATAAAGTAATAAATCTCTAAAATCAGCTGACACTCATGTGGTATCGAATCTAATTGTATTATCACGTTAGCTTAATTACATTATCAGTTAAACCAATCCCTAACCATTTAACCATACGCCTGTCTGAATGCCTTAGGTGGGTCTTGTAAGTGGCATCTGTCTGATAGTGGGAACAATGATCGGCTCCGGGATCTTCATTTCTCCCAAAGCGGTGCTGGAGGGAACTGGAGCCGTGGGTCCGTGTCTGTGTGTGTGGGCGGCGTGCGGATTACTGGCTACACTGGGTCAGTATCCACACAAAAAAGACATGAGGTTGCACAAAAGCCTTGAATTAACCCATATAACAAAGATTAATGGGTGAGATTACGCATAATCACCTCATGTATCGTGTCATATTTGTATTTGGTGTTTGATAATCTCACCATATACCATGAATGCAAAATACAAGCTTTTTTTATAGTGTGTAACATAATTTAAAAGTCTAAAGGTTGCTGCTTTATTAATTTGTTTATTAATTATTAAACACTTTACGATAAGGCTCAGTTTGTTAATGCATTAAGTAGTATAAACTAACAATGAACAGTATTTTGTAATAATCAAGGTTAATGTTCATTTATATATTACTTAATTTGTGTTCATACTACATACTGTAAATGCATAGTAAAACTAATTTCTGACAAATTAAATGTTAAATATTTATAAGTTAACATTAACCAGGATTGTTAGTTCATGATACGTGATGCATTAAATAATGTTAATGTATTGAACCTTATTGTAAAGTGTTACTCTTTTAATTTGCTCCATTTGTCGCAGCTGTTGTCTTACCGCATTATGTGTTACAAATATGTAAATCTAAACTAAATCTATGTTATCCAGCACTTTCTGCTGAGATTATAGTTGGGCAAAGTCAAGGAGGTTAATCAGATATGTTCACTCACTCAGAAACCCTCAGTCAGTCTTTTTAAGTCACATAGCCTACTGTTCAGGAAAATTCCCAAGACACAGAAATCCTCTTTAGAAGACCTTTTGGTAATGGACTCATTGACCTCAACTTGAACACTGAGAAACTAATGGGGAACTATGTGCATGTGTGTGCAGGGGCCCTCTGCTATGCCGAGCTTGGCACAATGATCGTGAAGTCTGGTGGTGAGTATCCATACCTGATGGAGGGCTTTGGGCCAGTGCCGGCATACCTATATTCCTGGACCACGGTCATCGTGTTAAAGCCTTCGTCATTTGCCATCATTGCCCTGAGTTGTGCCGAGTACGCCTCCACTCCATTTTACCCAGGATGCACTCCTCCTCAAGTGGTTACCAAATGCCTGGCTGCAGCTTGTATCTGTATGTACAAATCTAGGCCCTGTTTATATTCCAATGACATTATTTTGGTCTAACCCTCACTTTGTTCTCTCATCAGTAATAATTACACTCATCAACTGTCTGAGTGTGAAGCTGGCCTCCAGAGTGCAGAACTTTTTCACAGCAGCCAAACTCTTGATTATTGTCGTTATCGTGGTTTCAGGCATCGTTCTGTTGGCTCAAGGTACCTCTCTATTCCCTGAGAACAATCAAAACTGCTTTTACCCGACCTCATATCTCATCGCCAGATCTGTTTTTGTGACTCCTATCTTATATGATATCAGTTTTTTATTGACTGGCTTATGTGACATTGAAAAGGACAGCAGCATCTTATTATTCAATTGAAGGGACTGTGTTCAAAAACATTGTGATAACAGATAAAGAAATTATAGTTTTTGATTATGTTGTGAAAGATGACTCATCGTAGACTATGCCCAGAGATTAGTGTAGATTTGTGTTTAGATAAGTAGACCTCTGTAAATGTTCAATGAAAGATCAATAAAATGTGTCTTTTTATTGTGTTCTAATTGTTTTTTAGGCAATACACAGAATCTTAGAGACCCATTTACAGGGGGAACAACATCATTTGGAGCAATTGGCCTTGCATTTTACAATGGTCTCTGGGCTTATGACGGATGGTAAAGTAATGAGGAGCTCATATAACGTTGCACATGTGGCATATGCCGCTAATGTTAATCATCAGCAGTGTACATATTTTTAAAACTTTTAATAAGCTAGATTCAAAGAATCAACGTTCTAGTGTGCTCTCAGCCCTGGGAACCATTCACACCGTCTAATGATAAAGGGAAGTATCATTACATAATGAAAAGGGAAATTGAATGCTTGTCAAACCTTAAATCCAGTAGGATTTGTTTTTAGTTGCGTGGACTTTCACCAGATCATTCTTTATCCGTGGCTTTTTCATTCTGAGAGAAGCGTGCAAGACCAGAAGTCAGCTATGGCAATTCATGTCAAAGTTCTCTTTTCTTTTTTCATAGGAATCAGCTTAACTTCATAACAGAAGAGCTGAAAAATCCATACAAGTGAGACTGAAATGTTCTAAATTAAAATTCCAATTCTGTTTTTCTAAAACATGTGAAATCTGTAATATTACAGTATTGTTAGCTGCAATATTATCTGCAAAATGACATTGCAGTATATCTGCAATCTTACATTGTTGGCTATGAAGGTCTTATTGTGTTATTGAAAATGTCTTGTGTTTTTGTTTATTATATATTTATATAGTACTGTGCAAAAATCTTAGGCACGTTAGTATTTTCACACACACAAAAAGGTTTTAAGCCAGCTATATATATATTTTTTGCTGTAGTGTGTAAGTAGGATATATATCAGTTTACATTTCCAAACATTTCTTTTGCCATTAATTGTATAAATCCAGTGAGATTTTTGTATGCACAAAAGTCGGTAAGAACTGCAGTGTTTGAAAGAAATGTTTGGAAATGTAAACTGATATATCCTACTTGCACACTACAGCAAAATATATAAATAACTGTCTTAAAACCCTTTTTGGGGTTAAAATACTAACATGCCTAAAACTTTTGCACAGTACAGTATACTATATACAGTAGGCTCTATATATATATATATATATATATTAGTATTATTATCATGAAGGTGTTATTGTATTATTGAAAATGTCTTGTTTTTTGTGTTTATTTTACTCATTTCATAGATAGGTTTGTTTATGATTATGATTTTTTTTTTTTTTTTTTTACAGAAACCTTCCCCTGGCTATCATGATTGGGATTCCCCTGGTTACTGTGTGCTATATATTTGTCAACATAGCATATTTCACTGTCATGACCCCTGTTGAACTTCTACAGTCTTCTGCTGTTGCTGTGGTGAGTGTGTATTGTAGTCATAGTTCCCACTACCATGGAAAACCTGGAAATATCAGGGAATTTTACATCTGTGATTTCCAGATCTCTATTTCTATTGAAAATAAGTATTTTTCCTAGTTCTAAAATGTTCAATCACCCCCCAAAAAAGAAAGAAAAAAATAGCAAGAAAGGTTTGAGAACCTTTCTTGTCCGTTTCTTTAAAAAAAAAGAAAAGAAAAAGGTTGTCAGTTAATAAATGTTTGTGCAATGATCTTTGAGTTGTATTTTACTAAACCATTGGGTTCTCCACAGACCTTTGGTGACAGAGTGCTGTACCCATTATCATGGGTTGTGCCTCTATTTGTGGTTTTTTCCACTTTTGGTGCAGCCAATGGGAGCTGTTTCACCGCAGGAAGGTTAGGAACTTCAGCTTATATATAGAAATTTGCACACAGGATTAAGTGCATGCTGAAAATTGTTTTCTGGGCCTGTCTGTTGTGTCTGTTTGTACCTGTTAGGTTGACGTATGTGGCAGGACGGGAGGGTCACATGGTTAGGATCTTGTCGTACATCAGTGTGAAACGTTTCACACCTTCTCCAGCTCTCATGTTTAATGTAAGTCTCATGTAATATTCCATCCTCAACACTTTTTGGACAAGGCTTATCACTATTTTTGCCATATTACATCAACCATGAGAACTGTTCTAAACACATTAACATTATACTTGATTTGTGATAAAGTATTTGTTCTTGTATGTGATTTGCAGGGCATCCTGTCAATCATCTACATCATGCCAGCAGACATAAACACTCTCATCAACTACTTCAGTTTTGCTCAGTGGGCTTTCTATGGGCTCACATGCCTTGTGCTCATCGTTATGCGATTCACTAGAAAGGAGCTTCATAGACCTGTCAAGGTTAGAGCACATTATGCATGGTGACAACATAAACAAAAACAAAAAATGAGCAGATGCTATTATCCAAAGCAACTTTAAAATTATGAAGATCATAAGCTATTTGTCATAAGACCCAACAATAAAGACAAAGGCAACTTTCAAGAGTGAGCTAGAGTAGAAGCTAAAACAGAAGTGAAAACCTGAGAATCTTTTTTCATATATTATGTTTATCATAGCAAGTGCCTTTGTTTGTGAATTCATTTGCATAAGAGGTGTGACTTCTGGATTGGTTATTTCCCATAGCTATTGCAGTAAAGCATTCAAATTTTGTCTGTATTTTATATTGCCCATATATAGTTTCTATTCTCGAATGTGTTAGATATTCAGCTCAATGGCATGGACTGAATCAACCATAAATCTAATCTATTGTAAAATGACTATACCCAACTTGAAAATGTTTGCCTTTTGTTCCTCTCAGGTTCCGATAGTCATTCCTGGTTTGGTGGTGATTGTGTCCTGTTACCTAGTTCTCGCTCCTATCATAGACAAGCCTGAGTGGGAGTACCTGTACTGCACATTGTTCATAGTCAGCGGTCTTCTCTTATATGTACCCCTCATTTACTACAAATTCAACTGGACTCGCCACATCATGAGTAAGTACCTGGAAAAACTTGAAATTTGAATATATTACAGCGCACAAAATGTCTTGACCCTTGAAATGTACAATAATTATATGTTTTCTGAATAATATATAACTTTTAAGGCTGTTTTTAGTGGATGTTCACCATTACCAGAAACATTTAAATGCTACATTCTTAAACTTGACCTGTTGACGCTTACAGGGCCACTCACTATGCACCTTCAGCTGCTACTGCAAGTCGTTCCACCTGAAAAGACTGAGTGACAGATGTCAAACTGGAGGAAAGACAGACATAATAGCCTGCAATGGACAACAGATTGATCTGTGGAAATGTGGATAAAGGATCCTTAAAGGGAACATGGCTGCATATGGACAGATTTTTTTTTTATTCCTAATGCAAGACCATCTATTGTTTTTACAATGGATTGCAAGCCTTTCCCACGTCACAGGGATTTGTTTTTACTTTAAAAAAATGACATATCACTTCCACGAATGTCTGTAAATTATGACAACTTCCAGTTCATCTAACTTATTGTGTAATTAAATGCAAGTTTGTTGTACAGGATAACAATGATATTTTCCACGTTTACTGAACTCAAATGTATTAATTGTGTTAATATATCGACTCAGACTCATTTAATCACAGTAGAAGAATTGTAGTAATGTAAGTCTTTAAGTAGCCTATATTATAATTGTAGTTACTAAGAGTGCAACAATGGGATTCTAGTAAAATCCCATTCATTTTCTCCACAGGTGAATTGATTTTTAACTATAACTTTTAAAGACAGACCTACTGTAAGCTATGAGGATGTTGTTGTTTTTTGTGGCCTATTTTAATATGCACATATATTTTAACTGTTCACTGTTTGTTTTCAAATCAGTGTCTATTAAAGTTTTACATTACTCTGCAATCATTTTTACCTGTCAGTGCCAGACATGTTAAGTGGTATACTGGTACATGCTATATTTTTTCAGCGCTTATCGGGATTGGCCTAGGCTATAACACAGTTGTTTGTGGCCATTACACATGGATTTTATAGGTATTGTTGGACTTGGTAGCAATCATAAATCAATATATTCAATCGATTATAACTGTGTCTGAAGTATAATAGAAACGTCCTGATGTGAATGTGGCAAGGAAAAGCAAGAGTTCTTCCCTTGCTGTAGATGGCGCTCAATCACCAAATACAGATTAAATAGACTATTATTTTCTCTGTGCTGTCCTGTCCTTCACGCCATTGTAGACCGATGTCGAAAGTTTCCGGATAAGTATAGCTGTGATCATGTAAGCAGGGAGCAAGATGAACACGGCGCTGAAACACTGGAGAGAGGCGGCGACGGTGATCCTGGCGGCCGGGCTGAGACACACTCCGAGTGCGGACTCTCTTAAAGCAGGTCTGGGAAAAGTCACTGATATAGCGCACAAATCTGCCTTCGACTATCAAGTGCTGCTGCTGAAACGGAGCGGTCGCAGCGGGTTCATGCCCAATGCCTACGTGTTTCCCGGGGGGGTGGTGGATTCGTCTGACTTCTCCAGCGAGTGGCAGGAGATCTTTAAAGCCTTTACGAAAGCGCCCAACTACGGCATCGGAGTTGTGAAGCAGCCGCCGGCGACCAGGCCACCCATTTTCGCCACTGACAGATCTCAGCTGGGATCTCCGATACCGGGAGATGTGGCTTTCAGGATCTGTGCGGTGAGAGAGACGTTTGAGGAGTCAGGTGTGCTCCTGGCGGTTCCCAAACACGAGGAAAGCGGGATTCGCGTGCACAAGGATGATGCTTATAACAGTGACAGCCAGCCAACACTGACCAGATTGAGCGGACTGTGGAGTAAAGACGTGCTGTCTAAGTGGAGATCTCTGGTTATTGGTAACCCGGCGAATTTTATCAAGATGTGCAGGGAGTTGCAGTGTCTGCCCAACATCTGGGCTTTGCATGAATGGGGGAATTGGCTGACACCCATAGGCGTGTACGGCAAACAGAGGCGGTACGACACAGCATTTTACATCTGCTGCCTACACGAGATTCCATACACGCTTCACGACGAGAAGGAAATCGTTCATTTTAAGGTGCGTTTTGAATGGTATAGTTACCTTGTACATTTAAAATTGTATTTGGCAGACACTCAATCACTGAGCGTGTATTTCATCAGTTCATGCATTCGTGACCAATTTGTGTCCAGCTAGTTGAAAAGACTTTGCTCGTTAATGTCAATGTATTTCCTGAAGCGTCCACCCATGGCCTCATGCCTCATTAATATTCATTAGGGAAGCGCTCATTCGCCAGCAATGCTGCGCCCACTTTACGCCGTTTAGCAAGTGTCCAAACGTCACGGAACGTAATTAATATTCATAAACCAGGCCATATAGGTCATTCGGTCTCGCCCTGATGAGAACAACCGATTCTTGACTGTTGGGAAATAACACAACTGCCTTGTCTCTCAGTGGTCCACTCCCTCAGATGTGCTGCACAGCTACAAATCAAAGGAAATCTGGATAGCTCCACCTCAGTACTACGACCTTGGACGAATGTGCCATTTTCCAGCTCTCAGAGATCTCCATCGCTTTGCCTGGCAGAGGTCTTTGGAGGGATGTGAGCAGTGGCTGCCTATTTACCTGGCGTCACCTGACTGCTATGCAAGTCTTTTACCAGGTAATTGTCACATAATAAATTCTTTCAGCTGTCTGCTAAATGTTGCTTCTTGATGGGATAATAGAGTGCTGTGACTGAGTTAGGAACTTACTTGCACGAAGCTGAACCTTTTTTCCCCTCGTCTGACACCTAGGGGACGCTCTGTACCCAGAGAAAGTGGACACTTCTGGAAAGAGTGGTGTAGTTAAAATTGACAAAAGCCTCGAAGAGCTCCAGCAGGACAGTGCAAACATGCACCGCTTTGTCGGTCAGGATCCATATTCAATATCTATCCATATGAACATCAGGCCCAAGTATAACCACCTCCCGCCCCTCTGCGGTGAAGATGTGGGTGGCACCTCCAAAAACAGTAAACTCTGACACTTACCTGTCACTACCATAGTGGCAGGACTGATGGACAAAGCCTAGATGGATTTTTAATTAGCTGATTTCGACACACTGATGTGTCCCTTGACCTATGCAATGTAGTTTGATATATGGTCCATTTAACTTTTATGTCATAAAAAAAATACACAATGACTTCCTTGTTGAGTGACTACTGTTAATATATTTTTGAACTTGATCATAAACTCTTAAAGTGGATTGTTCTGGTTATTGTCTATATTGTAATACAACACAGTACAGTATCGGGCATATGATGCAAACAAATTCTTTAAGTTTAATAGCTGTATTCAAGTTTGAATTGTCACATTTGTTCTTTATTGCAGATGAGATGGTAAAGCAGAACTGTTACTGAAGCATTGTACAGCGCTGTTAGCTTTTCCATGCGTTGAGTTTGCAGAATACAGGATTCTAAAAACAACTTGAAAAAAGTAGTGTACAAATAGTATAATTTGTCTGATTAGTCTATGGCTAGCATATAAATAACCAATTACAATGAATTTGACTAGCAACTATTGCATATTTATTAATAATATTGACTAGAATTAATCACCCTAAATTTAAAAGTTTAAGTACAATGAAAAGTGAATCAAGATATCACATCATTTGACAAAAAAAAAAGCATGATGTGCATTTCTACCATTTTTAAATTGAGAACAAATGAATTCAGACATTGTGTGAATCTTTTCAAACAGTTTAATCATACATGAACTAAAGAAACTACCAGATGACTGTTTCGTAGGTGTCCACTTTTCTAGATTTCTGTAGAGACAGTAGCATAAAATCCTGAACCAACTTAATACAAACACACTTGTTTCAGACATCTAATAAATTCTGCACTCTCTACACTTTCAATGAAAACCACACAACTTGAATGACCCAAAAAAAAAAAAAAACATCTTCCGTTAAAGGCTGTTTTGTGGAGTTGATTTTTTTGTCTGTGATTTGGTTATTTTGTACAGGTTGATGTTTGGTCATGGTGTTACAGTCTACATGCTTCTACTTACTGGAACTTACATTGTGAAACAACTTATGAAGTAGAAAAGGCAAAATCTGTACAAATCTTAAATGTTAAATACAATCACTCTGTACCAGTAATGACAAACATCCCACAGGAAATTTTCTCAGAATACATATAAACTCACAAAACAGCAGCTTAAAATCTAAATAGAAAACAACCACCTCAACCCCCAATTAGATAAATCTGTCAGAATACATCTTAAAAAAAAAAAAAAAAAACCTCTTCATCCATGTAGACATGTTGGACATTAGAGAGTTGCCCCCCCCCCCCAAACTAAAGGTTTAGGGGCAAAGCTGCAGTTGAGCTCTACCAATCAGTCCAGAACTTCACAACTTGTACAGATGCCAGAATGGGGGGAAAATGCCTGCAAGCTGAGTGTAAAACAGACCAACTGTATGGTTATAACAAATTGTCATTAACTGAACAACATTTTAAGAGCATATGTTTTTGCTGTTGTAGGCACAATCATTTATATCTAAGGGCTCATTTGAAAATCACTTCAGTTTTTGTAACAAGAATGCATTTAAAACTCACTTTAACCCATTACGTAAACACACATTGTATTGTTTTTTTAAAATCTTAAACCATCAAAATGAGTACGTGTCATTGTAGCAGGAGCCATAAACATGATGTGAAACATACTGCAAATGTAACCAACAGCAACATGCAAAACTTTTGGCACCACTTTATTCATCTTGACTTTTTGAAACAGAACTAGATCACATTTTGCTGAGGATTTCAGTGCACTTACAAAAAAAAAAACATGCATGCTTAATATTTACCTGTGACAAGAAATTCAACTCTGCTCATTCTATGCATTATTTCATCTAATCCTGATTTTCACACAATAAGGAAATGAAAAACATGTGCCTATGTTGGCTCGACACACAAAGAAAAAAGGCAATTCAAGTGTCTATTGTAATGTCACTCTGTTAATAAAAACTCCCAAAATTACATCATGCCAACTAACCTAACACAAAATTACAAAGTTTATCCTCAATTTCAGCAAAATGTGACGAAAACATCCTCTAAAAGTTTTAGAACTAACAAGTGAGAGAAAGGGAAACACACCCACACTTGAACACACAAAAGTGATTCTATAAACTGAATGGCTGCTTGAAGAAAAAAAAAATACAATTAGAAGCGCTAGGAAGACTGCTTAAAACAATAAAAACCAATAAAGAAAAAATAAATCTGAAAAATGAAACCATGAAAATTAAAAGCTTCTGCAAAAATCTAGTGGTTATGTTTGTACGTTCTAGAAAAATAGACTCTTTGCTCAGAACAATTTTCATGAAACTTTTTACACTTTTAGCAGTCTTTCTAACGCTCCCTATTGGCAGCACAAATGACAGAAATGAACATCACACAAAGAAACAAACAAAATAAGTAATCAATAAGCGTCAAAAGTTAACAAAAAAGGTCAAGTGTGAAATTTCAAGCGTCAGAGAAGCGAAGAGGACAACGGACTGGACGATGAACTTTTGACGTCACATCGACATGCTAGGCAAACGATGACAAACGGGCACGAAGATATCTAGAACAAAAACAAAAAAAAACGAATAACAAACCTAGGTTAAAGCACAACGGAAAAAGGAGAGGGGATGAAAGAAAATCATGAATGATTATTTTTTACATGGGTGGGTGGGGGGGGGGGGGGCCTTTCAAAGATGCACATGGTCTAAACACAAAACACTGAATGCAACACAGGAAACGATGAAGAAAAGTGGGAAGAAAGAGGGAGAAGTAAGCACCATGCCAATAGTGAACAAAGGGAATAACATTAAACGACAACATCGAGAAAACACAACCTGCCTACTACAGCTACGACAACTCAACACTGTCCTCGACAGCAACATTTGAACAAATGAAAATGTTCAACTTCTCACAACCACATTTTGATTTTAGACCAAGGAGAGAGAGAGAGAGAGAGAGAGAGAGAGAGAGAGAGAGAGAGAGAGAGAGAGAGAGAGAGAGAGAGAGAGAGAGAGAGAGAGAGAGAGAGAGAGAGAGAGAGAGAGAGAGAGAGAGAGAGAGAGAGAGAGAGAGAAAAAGAAAAATTGTGCTTCAATGTTTCAGCTCTTTCAGTGAAAGTCTTTTTATTTTGTGCTTCAACTTTGAATTGTGTGGGACTGTGGAATAATGCATATTTGGAGCTGCTCATATTGGTTCTTATTCACAAAACACCTGCCATGGGTAACAAATGGATACAGTTTAGCTACATTGAACTCCGTGAAGGACAACAACATAATGGGACACAGAGCGAGTAACAGAATATCATCAATAAACGTGTACAGAAATTTAAGACTTGATGTTTTTGGCACATAAGTGGAACTACTCTGCACTTGTGAGCTGTTTTAAGGTGCACAAATCTACAGACCTTTACACAAACGCCAGTCAATCTGCTCTGGATGAAAAGCAACAAAACTATGAAAAGATTCTGTCTAACAAACAAAAATCCCTGCCTAGAACAAGTTCACAAGAATCTTTGGATTGTTCAAAATGGTGATTCGTGGTGCAACTCGGACATTTCCGAGGCCTTCGCATTTTTCTTCCACTAAATGGTTTTTGTAATGCATGTGTTTATTTGAACAGAGGCACAGACCAGGGACTCGTGATTCCCTGCACTAGCATCTAAACACTTCAAGAGGGGCTTCACACCTGGGTTCAGTCTAAAGCGTCTCTAACGTATGAAACTAACTTAAAGGCATACAGACCGGCATATCTGTACAAGTCGCAAGAGTGGCACACGTTTCCTCACCTGGATTGTTGGAAGTGTGTCCGTACTTGATGAAAATAGAAAGATTGTGAGGTTAACAAGAATTGGCTTATTTGCAATTAATCAGTGAAAATAAAAAACACCATTAATAGATACAAGCGTTTCAAACAGTGATGACAATAGTGAGGTAAATGTCAAACAACAACAATAATAAAAAACACCAATTTCACTTATTTTTTACTAATTGCGACTCAGAGCTCAAGTTATGCTGTGAGGAAATAAACGAATGACTTCTGATAAAAGCACATTTCAGCATTCGTCACTGCACATGTAAATGTACTTAGTTTAGAGATATTAAGTAAGAACTTTAGACTGAACCGTGGATCTGCTTCAGACTAAAAAAAAGAAAAAAAAAGCTCTTGGTACAATTTTTTTGACTAAACAGATGACACTAAACCTAGTGAAAAGGGCCACACATCAGTCGTTTTAACAATCGGTGAATGTATCCACAACACTTCACATAAGGATTCTACAAAAACACTGTTGAATCTTTTGAGAGATTTTTTTAAACAACCGTTTTAATTCAGAGAAATTATTTAGGCAATATTATAAAACCTCTATAAAAATAGAAAAGGCATAATAGTTAAGTAATATACACTATCTGGATAATGATTTCTTCTCAATTTCCATAAAAACAATCTTCTTACTTCACGACCCTGCAGGACTCAGATTGGCATTAACATTTGATTACGTTTTGAACACTAATTTACTGCCATGGTCAACTAAAGTGAGCTGCATGGAGTAACTCAAATACACGATCACAAGGTCAACTGAGAGTCTGAGGAGTCTTGATATACCAGGGTACAAGAGACCACCTGCAAACACCGAGAATAAAATACTTATAGAAATTGACTTAATTCATTCGGACAATTAAGTGGCCGTGAATTCAGCAATTGTAAACTTCCTTCCTTCTTTCTTTCATGTTCTTGGCAACATTATCTCTCACTCTTTTCCAGAATGCAAATATTGCTAAAAGCTTCAAGACCAACCTCTTGAATTGAGGTGTAGGATAATGTATCAAATGACCATCAAAATAAAAGTCATGTTGTAGATTGTGTACAAATGCCATTTTAAAACCATATGTGCTACCATTGTGATTCTTCAGCAACTTCCAAAGAATAAATTTTAAAAAAAACAACTGTGGGTCAAAAAAAAAAAATCATCTTATTTTTGTTTGAGGCTTTTAAGAAAGGATTCATGAACTGAAATGAAGCACTCCATCACTTATTTCATCATGTACCAGGTGAGTAGAATAATGAGCAAGTAGTTTTGGTCTGACAGAATGGTGAGAATGTCCTGAGAGTAAGTGTAGCATCTCCAGCAAACTAGCAATACTGAATGATTGACCACCATCTATGAACCAGCATGTGATATAATACCCTTGCTTAGTGTTTGTCTTTTTAGAATGTAAAAATATTAATGTGAATTAAAAACAAGCAAAAAGCATCATCATTACTATTGTTAGCTGAGCCCTCCAACAGAATACATAAAACAGACTTTGAAGCAATGTTACATCACCCTCATTGTGAAGACACAGATACATTAAAATAAATAAATAAATAAATTAGTGAAATAAATAAATGAATTAAATAAAAAGGCATCCATGAAACCGGAGTCTAGTGAAGTGCAGCCTGGCCTTCCAGATGCTCAATACAATATTCAGGTGACTGATTGATTATCTTTTGCACCGATGCAGCAAGCCTCCATTTTCTAGAAAGGCAGCATTGTAGGAGGCATCAGCATTACACTGTCCGAATGTACTACAAGAGTCTAGTGTAAACACAGGAGAACATCTACAGGGGCCAGACCGTGATGATCAACAGTCTAAGGGACTGAAAGCAGTCACACAGGCTGGCTTTCATTGTGCAACATCCTTTGACGCAAGATTTAGATTTATACACAGCAAACTTGTAATATGGCACCAAAAAAATAATAATAATAAAGACTTAAGGGAAAAGAAAAGATCAACAAAACAATTAGATATATATATATAAAAAAAAAAAAAATTTCTCCTTGGAACAAATTCATAATGCTAACAATTTGCTTGTTGTCTTTGTTTTTAAGGTTAAGAGAGAAGATATGTAGGAAAGGCCAGAGAAGTAAAAGAAAGATTAGGAAAGGCAGGTGTTAAGGGTGGGTGGGGTCATTATAACTTTCCAACGTCACACTCCACTTACCAGAAAAACATTTTCAAAACAAGTCCATTTGAGAGTAAAAGCACTCAGTATGGCTTGCTGTCATTTTTGGATCGTTTAAGTTGCACCTTCAGCCGCTTCATTCCAATCTGAAAACCGTTCATTGACTGAATGGCCGCCTGGGACGAAACTGGATTGTCGTAACTTACAAAGCCTTAAGAAGAAAAAAGAACAGAAGCGGACTATAGTTACCCACGGCTCAGAATATACATCAAAGGCTTGTTTCTGATGTCTGAATTAAAAAAAAATCAAGACAAAACAAGCACTCGACTCACCAAAACATTTGCTAAGGTTGGTCTGTTTGTCAATGAAGACCTTGGCAGAGATAACATTGCCGAAAGGCATAAACATCTGCAGCAAATCCTGATCACCAAACTCCTGTGGCAGATGGTAGATGAACAAGTTTGCTCCTTCAGGGCCTTTATAAAAAAAAGAAGAGAAAGAAACAAAGATCACTTTTGACTGCCTAGCAACCTTTTTATTTTAAATTTAGGTTTATCTTTTATTCTCCTTGTCTAGTTAAAAGAATATTCTGTGTTAAATACAACTCAAGCATGCTGCAGATTAGCAGACAATAGAGACCCAAGTTGATCATTTTGATATAGCATTTTAATTGAATTAAGTAAAACAGTTGCACAAATTGCTCTTTTGACGTGGGAATACATTTCTAGGTGAATGAAGGTCTGTTTATGTGTTACTGCCATAAAGTGGTATCATCCATGCATTACTAGTAATTTTCCAGAACGAGGCCAATACTTTCATTTTTGGTATACCTGTATTTTCACTGCATTTCTAATTTTTAAATATACAAGGTAGAGAAACCAAAATAATATGAAACATTCGTTGATTTAATTTGTTTAGCAAATATTTATTCCCTTTATTTATTTTCATGCTTAATTATGATTATTAATTTATTGTACAAGCCTCTGTTACTTTCACTGTTATTTATATTGCTCTATCCTATTTTATCTTTCATTTAATAGCACAGCACATATTCAGAGCTGGTTTAGCAGTGAAATATCACAATTCTCCTATTAGTTTTTGTCTGTACTAACTAATGTACATTTATTAAAGACAGATAAACAGACAGAAATAAAATAAGAACAAATAACCCAATTACAAATAGAACAAATAAATATAACAGACCAAAGATACAAATTAAATGGTGCTTTTCAGGTATTTTTAACAGTAGTTTTCAGGTACAGAATTTGAATAAAGTAATCAAATGTAAAATACAGTCTTCACTGTATAAATTAAATATCGATAAATCTTTATTAAAGTTACAAAAGCCATTCTGTCAAGAGCAGTGAATGATTTATTTGTCCTTTGTTATTTGTTTAACATTAAAAACACAACAGCAGGTTTATTAAGCAGAGACTTAATAAATAGAGAAAGAAATATTCTTATTCTTTCAACAAAGAATACTGAAAAGAAATTATCCTGGTTTCCAAAACTACAGAAACTGTTCGTTTTCAACATTTATAATAATTGGTCATAAAATACAAGCATAAAAAAGCATGCCACAGATGATTCCGATAGGCTTGAAGTTGTATTTAACCCAGAATGCTTCTTGAATTCATTGGCAGAGAGTTGCTGGCATGGATCTCCACGTACTTTTAAACAAACTGTAGAAAATGTAGAAAATGGACATTGTGGAGAGTGATTATGATCTCTTACCCGCACTCTGATTGGGACTTGCTGTTGCAGCATATTTAAAACAAGAATGAATCCTTAAGATGGTGATCACAAGAGCCACATCAACACACACACACACACACTACAAGCTGACCCTGCTAGCATAAACTAGCAGTTTCTCTTGTACAGAGGCTTTCACTCTCCCAACCCAAACAACTGCTCAAAGCTCATCAGACCTCCATGTACTCACCTTCCTTCTGGCTGCCAGCGGCACTAACGTTCTGCTGAGACAGTAAACTCTGACTATAGAGGCTAGGCAGTGCGGCAGCGGCATACTGCTGGATTCCGGAATAGGCTGCCTGAGTCAGAGCCTCCATAGTGCTCCCCGAGCCGTTAGAGAGACCTCCACTGCCCAGACCACCATTCAGAGCAGCCATGCCTGCGCACACAGAAACGCAGCTCAGCTTTCAGACACACAAAAACTACTGATAGATACAGAGAAACCGCATTCAGAGAAGGAGATACAGCAGAAACAGAAATGAGGCAAAGAAAGTTAAAAATGATATTGATACTGTGAATACAAATGCATCCTTATGCGTTCCAGACAATAGCCAAGAATTAAACATGAAGAAGCAACTTTATGTGCTCATTTTTTGTTGATGTGACCACATCACCTGAGATGCATTTTAATAACATGGGCAAACCGTATATTTAGCAACACCACCTGACCTTATACAAAAGCAAAAACAGTGAACGTTTCTTCCTTACTTGCTAGGGAGCTCATGTTGAGACCTGCTCCAGCGCCCGCAGCAAGAGACTGAAGAGCACCTAAAGACGCCATGGGGTTCATCGAATTACTAGAACTGGAGGTGGGAGAGGAACCCGCTGTGAGGAGGAGAGAAAACAAGAACCAGGTCTGACACATGACATTACTAATCCATCAGACATATTGCCAATTCACATTTCACATGCTCTCACTGCACAGACATGTAAAGCAAATGAGACTAAGAAACAGCACACGGTAACGAGAGAAGTCATGTATTTCAGAGTGCAAAAAGTGAATAAGTCAAATAACAAAGACAGCACTTTAAAGCAAATGATGGGGATTATCAAGAGTCAAGGTGGGTAGACTGATGCATGAACAGCAAGATATATGTTTTAAACGCATTACACAGTTTATGTTTGGAGAAATTGCTAACACTTTAGGTTCAATTTGTCAACACCAATGAACAATTCTTTAACCAAGATTAGTAAATGCTGTAAATGTACGTTTCTACATATGCAAATAACATCAGGCATAAACTAATTTTACTTAAAGAAAAATACTACATTTAAAATTCAACACTAACCTAAAATGAATGAAAGCTCCAATGTTTTGAACTTAGTAAAGTGAAATTTGCTATTGGACAGAAATATTCCACAGAGAGCAATTCTATTTCACAGACTGATAAGAAGCAAAGTTAACAGGAGGAGATTAAAAAGCGGGACCAACCCTTGTAGGCGTCCCAGGCAGATTGAGCGGGCTGTCCGGAGGGCATACCTGAGCTGGTGAGGACACTGAGAGGGGAGCTGGAGGTGGTCAGAGCACTGCTACCTGTGGGTGTAGCCTGTGTAGCACTCGCTGCTGCTGCTAATGCAGCCAGATTCTGCATGGCATTCAGACCTGCCGCAGATCACAGACCATCCAGAATGTCAAGAACTACACAACACCACACACTTCCTTCTCGCAAACATTCACATGCACAACCTCCTATCATCGTCCTAAAGCTAATAGGCCGTCAGAACCAATGATTCTATGGGTTTGCAATGCATCTGAGAAAGTGGCTAACTAACAGCCGCTATCATTTCCAGCGGGTCTGAGTGGAGCGAAGCACGTCAGACTCTCACCTGACATTGGATGGAGATTGTTGAGCGCATTTCCAGAGGATGCAGACTGCTGTAGAAGCTGCAAATAAAGCTAGACATTACATCAAAACAGAGAACAGAGAGAGTCAGGACTGCATCCAGGACTGTGATGGAGAGGAGAGGAGAGGAGAGGAGAGGAGAGGAGAGGAGAGGAGAGGAGAGGAGAGGAGAGGAGAGGAGAGGAGAGGAGAGGAGAGGAGAGGAGAGGAGAGGAGAGGAAAGGAATCAGGCAACAAGGCAAAATAAAGACAAACAGAAGCACATGTGAACAAGACAGAAACAAAGAAGAGGGAAATGTGGACATTCAAGGGCGATCAGAAATTATAATAGGACTGAAAAGGATTAGAAGGGGAAAGGATGAAGATAGAAGTTTTCACAGCACACCCATGGAGCAGCACTAACACATTCAAACAGGGCTACACATCTATGCCGGCCCATGTGCGGTAACAACCAATTAAACAGTAACTTTAGGAGTAACCAATCATAGACAATCAGGATTTTGAGAAGCCAAATTAAATGCATTTAAATAACGGCCAAACACAGACCTGTAGCCCATGTGCTCAAACACAACAGAAAAACACAGCAACCTTTTTTTAAAGCAAATCTGATTACAAGGCTCTCACGGAATCTAATCTATTCACTACAGATTAGGGCTGCACGATTAATCGCAATGAAACCGCACGCGATTTGGCAAAGGCTGCAATTATTTTATGTGCGCTGATCGGTAGTAAATGCTGCTTCATCTGAACACCAGAGGGTGCTCACGCAGACATCAAATATGCCCCGCTGCAGAAGTAAGATAACACTAGGGGTGACCCCGAATAGTCGAAGATTCGATGCTTCGATAGGAGGAGCCTGATTCGACTACCAATCTCACGGTCGAATCTTCGCAGAGGTGTTATTAAACGAGGATTATGTCATTTTGGCTATATGAGTGTGCTCAATGTCTGATTTCACATAGAACTACTGGTTTTCTGTCAATACGTTAATATACAGCTTATTATGATAATGCTGTCAATAAAAATGGACAAAGAAAGAAGCTTTTAATAAATATTTTTTAACGTGCGTGCAGCGTGAATAAATGCAAACACCCTGTGACAGATTTAAGTTTCACTTTTGATCCGTGACCGACAGAGGATCGTCTTGTCGGCAGGGATTTAAATCTTTAAAGGGGTCATATAATGGTACATGCACTTTTACAAGTTGATTGTACTGAAATGTGTGTTGGCAGTGCCTGTGCACAACCATCATATAATGATAAAAATCCATCCAGTGGTTTTGTTTTAATCTCCTTATATGTTTTCCCCTGCCTCAAATTGAGCCGTTCGTTTTTGACGTCAATAAAACAGACGCCCCTCCCGCGATTGTTGATTGACAGCAGTGATTCAACATAGACCCGCCCTCGCTCGTCCTGTCAATCATAGTCCGGGCGGATCGGCGCGGTCATTGTTGATATGCTGGAGCACTGTCTATGAGCAGAATGGCGTCTAAGCGATTGTGGTGTTTTGTTCTTGGGTGCAATAACGAACACAGCAGTCATTTTAATGTTCCTAAATCCGAACCGCTGAAGACGCAGTGGCTGAGTTTGTTTTTGAAGGGAATATTCCCCACGAGCAACGTCAATGCTCTCATGTTTGCCGAATCATTTCTCAGTGGACTGCTTTATAAACGAGGATCAGTGTAAAGCTGGTTTTGCTGAGAAGCTGCACCCGAATAAAGGATCGGAACCTATTCGTTTTCCTGCTGAACCTTCAGAAGAACTAAAGTGAGTGTAACGTTTTATTAATCTTTATATTAATATTTATATTAATCTTTGCAAATCGCCAGCTGCACGCTTCACGATGGTTTACACTCGGTTTACACTCAGGGTACATTACAGCATGTTTTCTATGTACAACGTTCTCAATATAATTCATAATCCCACGTTTATAATGAACAACGCGTTATGGTTATTGTGTTATTGTGTTACAAACGGTGTATGCGCAGAACAGAGAGGCGGGGTGAGCAAAGCTCATTATCATTTAAAGGCATATGCACTGAAACGGCGTGCTGAAAACAGAACTGTTTTTGACCAGGTAAAATAAGTGTTTTCTTACAATACTAATGAGAATTTTTAATTAAAGTATATTACAAACTTTTAATTTAGACCCTAAAGAATCATATTAGCTTGTACAAAAATGGCATTATATGACCCCTTCAAAAATGTCTGGGATAAGAAAATCTAAAGATGCACACCATCAGAAAGGATATTCTCCAAGGCTGGATTTAGCATCAGGAAAACCATGATCGCACTTCTGCCGGCCAACATTAACAGGTTGGTTTTCCTCGGGACATTCTAAAACGCTTAACGTGAAAAAAGCTTTTAAAACGCTTAAATGGCACTTTTACGTGCTTAATGCATGTACACAGTAGGCTACACACCATTCTATGTGCAGATAAGCAGATGAACCCAGAATATGAACGCAACGCGTTTCTCCTATAGAAAGTCACGTAAAGCTTTTTCTTTAACGGTTTTCTATGGGAGGAAAATGCTTAACGTAGCCTATAATAAAACGCGTTGCGTTTATATTCTGGGCTCATCTGCTTTTCTGTAGGCTATATAGTATGCTTTATTAATAAGGTGTGTACAGAATTTGATCTTTTAATATAACAGTTTTAGGACAAAGCCGTTAAGCGTTGTTCACGTTAAGCGTTTTAGAATGTATTTTATCCGCGCACACAATTTGAAAAGACTCAAACGGACACAGGCCGAGTGAAAGACTGGATTTTGTTTTTTCGATCAGGTATGGGTAGCCTACAAGTGATTTCAAAACATTTCAGCCGGTTCTAATTTGATTTTTTGATACTGTGAACACGCTAAACTGGAGCGGCAGTCTTTTTAGCTAAACGTTTATTGTTGTTTCTGCAGTTAAAAAGACAAAGTTGATAATCCTGGCCATACATTCGTTATTTTAAAAAATTATTTATTTTTATTTTATTAATTGATCACTCAGGGTGATCTAATTTAACTATTTGTGACTTGTGTTTTAAATATTTGTTCCCCTGCACTTTAGGCATTTTGCACACATTTGTTCTGCTTCTAGTGACTTGATTCTGACTTATTTCGTTTTGTATTTTTATTTATTATAAATGTATATTGTGTTCTTAATTGTTGATTATTTTTCAGTGCATCGATGTTGCGCTATAGGCCTACTTAGACCGATTTAATTTGCATGTGAAATGCAAATCCTATCTGCAGTGTGGCCTTTCTGCAGTTATTTATGTTATTTCTTAGTTTTATTGATCCAAAATGTTTTTATACATTTTCTTCTATATCTTTGTGTGATGTTCTTTACATCGCGGCTTTAAAATTTTAAAGCCCCGCCCCCTCCCCAACACCACACACATGATTCGACAATTAGTCGACTATAGGCAGGACTTGACGAATCTGATTCGACTATGAAAATCCTTAGTCGGGGACACCCCTAGATAACACACATCATTCCAGGAAATCCCTATCGGCAACATACTGTAGCTGAATAAACAGAAGATTGAAACGCTTTGATTAAATATGACTAAAAAACACACGACTGCCTTATTCTGTGTAAGAAGCCACATCTCACAGAAGAATGCTCAGCATGTTATTAAATGTTGTCTTTTGTTGGACAAGAGGTTCATAAATGCTTCTCATGTTTGGAAAGATGTTAGACGTGTGTTGCTTTTTCAAATTCAGATTATAAGTGACTCAAACTCATAGTGCTTTCAGACAGAGCAGCGTTTACAGAGCCGTACATCAATGACAAGCAGCGCGTAAAAAAAAAAAAAAAAAAAAAAAAAAAAAAAAAAATAGCAGCCTTTGCGATTTCATTATCGCGATAAGCCAAATCGGTTTAAGTGCGATTGCATCTGTAGTAGGGCTGCACGATTAATAGCAATTTACATGAAAACAATAATGCATTATAGTTTTGATAAAGCAAATTACATTTTGAATGGAGCTAGGGGTGTCGCAATATACCAGCATTGATAAGTGATACTTAAGAAAAATCTTGATATGTCAATACCACACCAATGATAATATCGTAATTAATCCAGCAATCTGCTTGACACTCCACATAGGAGGTGGCAGTATTGCACCTTAATGCTTGTTTCTACTATGACGACGCAGAGTGTAGCTACTACTGCCGCACAAAATCATCTCAGAGGAGATGACAGACGAAAGAGAGATGCTATACCTGCACCAGAAAAAAGTAAGCTCTTTCGTGTGGGAGCTTTTTTTAGATTCAGTAAAAAATAAAATAAAAACATGTGATGTTAAACACCCCAATCAGCAAGAAGTGCTGATCAACAGTAAGTGCTTTTTGTACAGTTATGGTTACAAACTCTCTCTCGTCTACCTACCCACATATTTTAAGTGATTATTTTTTCCAAACAAATTAAAACAAAACAAACAAAGCTAAATTTGACTGACAGTATTTGTTTTTCTTTCAAAATTTCTATAAATATTGTGATTATAATGTTACTGTGAAGTATTTTGGCTATGATAATCATTTAGTGAAATTCTGATATTGTGACAGCCCTAGATGGAGCAAAGACCAGCTCTCATGTACTAAATATGAATGTTTTCATTGTGCTTCGTGTAGTTTGCATGTTTTAAACAGTGGCGCGGTTTCTACGTGCATAGACCTCAGATGCAACAGGATCTGTCCTGTGTACTCACTGCAAGGTACTGTGGCCCCAGTGAGTTCAGTCCTGTAAGGTTTCCCCACATGGAGGCAGCGTTGAGCTGCTGCATCTGTTGCTGCAGCTGCTGAGTGATGCGTTTCTGTTCCTTATCCTTCTGTGTGTCTGCAAACTTCACCACGATGGGAGAAGAGCAGCCCTAAGGGACACAACAGAAATCAAAATATAGCATAGCAAATAATTCAGAAACGTATAAAAAGGGAAAGCAACCAAGTTGTCACAGATGTGTGTATACTCTAATATGTTACAGCAGCGTCTCAGCCTTTCATAATATACTACTGTTCAAATGATTAGGGACAGTATGATTTTTTTCTTCTGGAAGAGAGAAATTACCGTATATACCCGAATATAAGACGAGGTTTTTGTCCTAAAAATAGGCTGAAAAATGGGGGGTCGTCTTATATTCAGGGTCATCTTATACTCGAGTGGAGGAATCGATTGATAGCCTTTTTCTCACGCGCTTGGAAAAAAACGCGCGCCTACATTTGAAATAACGAACTTGAGCGCGCAAAAGACGTGATATGTGAACGGGGGGGCGGGTCTCTGCTCACTTGTCTCCGTCCGCTCTGGCATCCTCTGTGAACGGCGCTTTTTCTTCTTATATTCAGGGTCGTCTTATATTCGGGTATATACGGTAATACTTTTGCTCAATTAGCATATATATATATATATTTATATTTATATTTATACTAAGCATTGGGGCATAGGCATTTATGAGTGTATGTGTGTTTACCTCCATGGTCTGTGACTGATGCATGGATTTGATGGCAGACTGGGCCATCTGTCTCGCTGTGAATGTGACGAAGGCACAGCCTGTGAACAGAGTTGACAAGTAAGAGAGTTGACAAGTAAGAGAGTAGATCACAAAAGGACACCAACTTCTGTGTTTAAACCATAAACCTAAATCCATAAACTAGAAGTACTCATGAGACAATCAGGCAGAAACACAACCTCATCAAAAACAGGCCCGATTCAGGCCCAGTCTCTTTGGAAAACGGTTCAAGGGCTGCTGAGTCAAAATGGGTTGCGCCTATTACTTACGCAGTTCCCATGGTGATGGACAGCAAGTTCACTCAAGCTAATTCGAAAATAAATAGCGTGGGCCTGAATGTGCATTATGTTCCCTTGGTTACACTTTGGTTAACTTAAAAATCACAGTGATTCTCTATGCCACAGGTAAATGACAGCTAGAAACTAGGAGAATAAGTGGACAAGAAAATAAATAAATTGAATGATCAAAGCGCCTGTGCAAATATTCTAAATTTGTTGCATGCAGTTATGTTTATATAACCTCTAATATCAGTTGCCATGTTGAGTTTGGGATGAATGAAGCAATTTTCATTTGGGCCGACAGGAGCCAATTGAGTCTCATTTTTCTCTGATGGGTTGTGTCTGCAACTATTAGTTACGCAAACACTACCTCCTCGAAATAACTAAAATGAGAGAGTAACTGATGAAGATGTTTATTATTGTGCACTACCAGTGCACTGAAGGAAAGACTGCTGAAGTTAAATTCATGCGTGTATGTGCTAGAAGTCGTCAAAACATTCACAGTACTGCCTCTATTCTCTCTCTCTCTTTTTTTTTATCGGGTCACATGATGGGTGTATAATTTCCTTTGGCTGGTGATAGTGACGATATACATGCGCTTGAGAGTTCTCACCGCGGCTCAGTCCGTCAGGGCCTCTCAGTATACGGCACTCCTCAATTTGACCGTATGGAGAAAACATGAGCCTTATGTCATTCTCATTACACTTCTTTGAAACCATTCCAATAAACAGCTTTCTATCTTCTACCGCTGAAACACAAGAAAAGTGTGTTATGGCAGCACTGCCTCTGCACAGCTGTTCAACAGTCTTTGTGAACATTAGGGCTGGGTATCGATTCACATGTTCCAATTCAATTCGACTCAAGGAATATAGATTTAATACAAATCCTATATTTATATTAAAAAAAGAACAGTGAACATAAGTTTAAAAGTGGTTAATTAATAAAAAAGAAATTAAGAGCCACAAACCTGTATATTAAACTTTATTTTAGGTACACTTGGGTACATTAAAACAGAACCCAACTCTATATTTCAAATGCATGGACAGGATTTTGATGCAAATTGGACAAGTCAGAACAGTGGCATGCCTTGATCAAACAGGATCAGGTTATTTTAGGTTTAAGATAAAACAAACATAAAATCTCACAGCATTAGCTGTAACATGGAGGCTGTAAGCCTATGAACAGTGTAGGAAAACTAATACTGGCTTTTGGGTGATAGATAAATAAATACGGGAAAAATCGATTCTTGGCCTTTGAGAATCAATTTTAAATCGACCACATTTTAAAAAACGATTAATCGAAAAATCTTTTTTTTTTTTTTGCCCAGCCCTAGTGAACATTTCCTCAAGCAATACACTACCGTTCAAACGTTTGGGGTCGATACGATTTTCTAATGTTTTGAAAGAATTCTCTTAATCTCACTAAGGCTGCATTTATTTAATTAAAAATACAGTAAAACAGTAATATTGTGAAATATCACAAATCAACAATTTTGGTAAAGCTGAATTTTCATTACTCATATGATCCTTCAGAAATCATTCTAATATAGTAATAACTCAAGAAAACTTAAATGTTGAAAAAAAAAATTCTGCTGAATTGTTTTCATTTCATTTTTCGAGAAACCGTGATGCATCTTTTTTCAGGATTCTTTGACTGACCCTAAACTTTTGAAAGGAGAGTAACTTTTGGAGTAAATTCAAGTCACTCACCATTGTTTTTTTCACTGTCTGCAGGTTTCATCTGTATGGGATGATGCATCTGTACAGAGGAAAAAAAAAAATCACGTGACTTATCAACACTGACATTTTCCGGCCCCCAATGAGAAATCAGCTGTTTGAAAAGCTTTCATAATTTCATTTGTGTGTACTGAAAATACATGTGTAGATTTTATGCATTTTTAAGAGCAATAAATATAAGGTGGCCATCTGAAGACACATGAAGGATTAATCGATTATTGATACAATAAAATAAAAGTAGATCCTTTTCTCACCCCTGGAAGAATCTTCATGTTGTGAAGGGCATTTTGTGCTTCTAACGCAGATTTACGGGTGTAATATGTGACAAAACAACAACCTGCAAATGCAATAAATGGTCTATGAACCAAGTCCAAAATGACAACATTTCCACTGAGACCAATTTCTAGAACTGCATTCCAAATCCTAGTGAGCAGCATTTTAAGGGATTGCTGGCACATTTCCAACTGTTCCAAAAAGTAGGCAACTTAATTGCGCTGCCACATAAGACAACTCGTTTAGGCCAAGCTTTTTAAGCAGCACTGCATGTGTGTGTGTGCTATGTGCTCACTAGGATTTGGAACAGACCGTACAAGTCCGCAATGTACTGACTGTCAAGTACCTTTACTCTGTGGGGGGTTCTGACTCCTGTCCCGAAGAACATTGATTTCATAAACTGCACCATAGGGCTCAAACAGCTCACGCAGCTGATCCTCTGACCACGTCCGGGGGACCTGACCCACAAACATCTTTATAGCATCAATGTCGGGCTGGTCTGGGTGGTCCAGAGACCCATTCATCTTCTTGGTTCTACAGAAAAGAAAAAAAAAACCTAAATCTGTTTAACTAGTCTTAAGGACATGGCCCTCAATGTCTCCCTGACAGATGATGATACTCAAACATATTGCACATGGAAGGATGCACACAACAATCTCATATCGTGCTCACTGCCCAAGTATGAAAACCCCAAAATTACAACAGTCTTATTTACCAACAGCACACCAGTATTAGACTGATCGGTCAGACTGATTAAACCAGTTGATGATTGTTTTTAGACCAAGCTTTGATTGGCAGATAACAGTTTCCACTTGGTCAGCTTTGCCAATATATAATGCATTTGCTGTTCTCAGGTTAAAATGGGTAAATGGCCTGCAAAATAAGTACTTATTTCAACAGCTGTGTACATCTTATTTGCTATAACAAAATAGCTTTCTGTAAATAAACCACTAGTCCAAACATGATCATTCAGATAGTTTCTTCTAAATTCTGATTAGCTTTCTTATAAAGCTATAGCTGTGCGAATAAAAATTGTGAATGCTGCAGAGCAGTTTAAAACGGTTCTCTTATGAATTTTTTTTAAAAAACTTTACTTATGTTACTGCTGCTTTATGTTTTACTAGTGATTAGCAATGTGAACTAGCAGAAAACATGGTACGTAAAGCATTCATGGCATTATTAGCAAATTCTTCATCCATTGCGTGAAGCGCAAACAAGAGTAAAATCCCTGCTCAAACAATATATGAAGCCTTAAAATGGCTACACAAGATTTTCTGAGGTAAGCAATAACTGAAAATTGTTCATGTACTAACAGTTTACAACTGGATTTAAAGTCGCAATGAAATGGAAGCAGCGACAGATCTTTTCTTACATAGTGACAAACATGCGAGTGTAACAGATTATCGAAAAAGACTAAATGGGCTTGGTTCTATACATCAGTTGTTGATTGTGAAGATGTGGGCATTGCACTCAAAATTGGAGGCAGATGAATGCGAGCTTGTAGGGGCAGACTAAATGATTGCAGAAATCCAGCATCCGGAAATCCATCTGTCGTTTTCACCTGAAGGTCCAGCAATGACATTGATTAAACATTACGAGGCCCAACATTTAAAAAAAAAAAATTGAAACGTGTAGATTCACAATAACGTGGATTTAGAAAGTAGATTTGGACTTCAATCAATAAACCACAAAAAAAAGACATTAAAAAGAGAAAGGAAAATGTCAAATATCACAAAAGAATATCAAAGTCTGTGATGGGAATGAATTAAAAGAACATCTTGAAACTTCTGCGTGACAGAGTAGAGCATGAGGGGAAGCACGAGTGATGTCATGGACAGGCCTGAAGCACTGCTTCATCACTCTCTTTAGCAGCTGCTGATCAGTGGAGTGACAGATCACTTTACGAAAACACTGCATTGTCCTACTGACAAAGAGCAGCATTAGCCAGAAGCTAAAAGCCAGATTAATGGTGTTTATTGATCAGAGGACAGCAGAGCTTATAAAACCTTCTGCTTTGTCGATTTTCCAGCAACCAGAACTTGTTCAGACAAGCAGATAACACAGCCTCTCTAGAAGATCATCCAATCTGGGCCAGAGGAACATTGGGTGTTCACTGGGACAAAGAGATTTAAGGATTGTAAAATTCTTTCCCAGTGAACTGACCAGTTCCTGACTGTTGGGATTAGCTAAAGTCACAGAACATCAGAACACAATGTTGGAGAAGAATCAGAAGATTCAACAAAAACTACTAAACCCGAATGGAAGAACAATCAGACAAACAGGAAGGAGATTATCAAGATGGTAGTCATCTCTTTCCCATTGCTGCCAATTAATATGAATAGTATATGAATGCAGCCTTCAATCTGAACACTATTAACAATGAACTCTGTTCTTTTTGGGTTATTTGTTATGCAAGAGATGCAGAGAAGGCAATTTACCACAGCTCTAGCTCTGTCAGCAGTTCCTGGCTCTGTTCTTGGCTAAATTGTTCCCTTTGAGGTTGTAAAACCTCACAGTGAAACCCTTGTGATTTTAATAAGACAAACACTGAAATGTTTTATTTCAGCATCCTGCAACAGCAAAGAATGAAATATTGTGTTAACCTATAAATAATATAAGGGGCAATACATCCTATCCTATCACAGACAGGGAACAGCCACTCAAGATAGCAGAGTAAGTAGTAAAACAAGAATTTTACTTTCCTTTCTAAAAAAATGTGAGTGACTAACTAACTTCCGAGTTTACACCAACAAGTTTTTACAATGCTTCAATCATATAAAACATCATACTTTCCAGATTTTTAACTTCTCTTTTTTGCTTTTCCTGGGCAGATTATGAAATGTCCAAATATCTTCATTTAGCAGATCACATCTACTACTAGATCATACACAGTCAAAGCTTTTATTAAAGGAGAGGTTTCAAACTAGGCTGTGAATAAAATATGAATGACAATACAGTCTAATAATAAAAACAACAACATGTTTACTACAGGATTATGTAGTAAACATGAACTAGCATCCCTCACTGCAGGCCTCTGGCCATTGGGCATTGACTTTCAGCTCCTGAATACTGAAAATACTGCCTGACATTTACGTTTACTGGCCTTTCGGCTCAGAATAAGACAAACAAACCAGTAAAATCACTCAGATTTGACAAACCACACTAATTAATAAAATTAAACAGTCTCTGTAGTTAAAAAAATATTCCACCTTTAATACAGTGACTATCAAAAAAAAGAAGAACTTGTCTTAAGGTATTAGAGTGAAACCCAAATCAAATTACGCCAAGCTGAACAGTTAAATCTGTACTCACACTGGGTTGGAAGTCAAACTGCAATGGTCCACCATCATCTCAGGGAGAAAATCCAGCTTAAAGGAAGCCATTTTTACAGCACTTCACCAATCAGCAAGTCTCAAATGAACACTGACAGAATCCACAAAAAAGCACTTGTTTACACTTAAACAGCCACAGCAACTATCCGTCTATACAACGTCTCTCAAGGTTCAGAAGTCGTGAGAAGTGACATGGGAACAGCTGAGAGAGAAAGGGAAATGTACACCTCATGGAGGCTGATCAGACCCCACAAAACTCAAATCAACATGGAGCAAAGAGACAACGATGAGGCTCGGCACTGTGCTAGATGACAAACACAGGCCGTAGCTCTGGTCACTGGGCTGGGACTGAGGATTAGGACGGGTCCGATGGGCCACTAAAAGCTGCACCCCAGATTCCACAAAGGAAAGTGCTGATGGAGGGGGACTTTTTTGTGAGTTTTTCTCTTAGCACAGCAGAAAGGAGTGCAGTGTCAGATAAATAAAGCGTCAGATTGATGCTGATAAGCGTGAGTGAGCGGCAGGAATGAATGGGGACGGGCAGCTCTCTGGTAATCCCCGAGCTGAAGCGCCCCTAGGACACAATCGTGTTCCGGCAACGGGCCACGAACGGTGCCCTGTCCCAGCATGGTGGGGGTGGCGGAAGGGAGGGAGGAACGGGCTGCTCGGGGTCATGTTATAAGCTCACAGTCAAAGGTGTCAAACAAAACAAGCCACAGGCAGACTGAGGTATACTATTTAGTCTTGTTTAGCACAAAAACACCAATGGCCCTATAATAAGTATATAACAAATAACATTCAAATTCCTTGACTGCCAAAAAAAATTTAAAATAAAAAACAGTTATATGTTTGTAAAATGATGATTCGTTCAGAAAATATTGCATATAAAATAATTTAAGAACATCCTTACAAAAATGTTTCAGCAATTAATCAGAATGTTATCATTTTTTTCTTCCTCAACAGTCTGTCTCAGATATTCAAATAGGCCATGACATCATCGCTAGTCATGCAGTGACATCTGGTGGGCTGCTCACTGCAGATATGCTTACTATTTAGAAAAAAGGAGCAATGACAAAATAAGAGCAAGTTATTTTTTCTTCTCATTCCAGCTTCAAAGAGAAGCTGCTTAAAAGACTTGTTTCCCACTGAGGAAAAACCTGTAGATGGAGGGTATCCTCACACCCCTGGGGTAAAAGGATGTGGAGTGTATGTGTTCTTACCCGCCAAGGGCAGGTACTTCCACAGCAGGAAGGGAAAGCTCGCATTGAGGTTGCCCGATCTGCGCTGTGGTCAGGTAGAGGGCTTCAGCGTCGATGCTATCCATCCAGTGACTTTGTTAAATGCTACAGAAACACACCAAACATTACAGGACACACACATCAGACACACATACACAGGTAAACATAAACTGGAAAGGAAAAAGAAAGAGACGTCTTCTGACAGAATAGACAGCATGCAAACCTCATGTCACAAAACTGCATGCACACAGAAAACACATATGTAGGAGAGTGAGAAGACACGTCCTGGATGATCTGAACATAATCATGTAAATGACAGACTATAATCTGAGAGGAAGCTGTTGTCACTTTCATTGGAGGTAATCAGTTTGTAGAGGCTCAAACACAAAAGGTTTGTCACATTAAAAAAGGGAAAAATGGTCTCCAGGCTCAGATCAAACCAGATGTTCAAAGTATATTTTAATTTACTTTTAACAAAGAGAGTTACTGAAAGGAGAGTGTATATGACTAACAGCACTGTGTAAAATACTACTCTGCCGAGAAACAAAATATAAACTCTCACATACCCAACCAGTAGCAAAAAAAGATTCACATATCAGATCTGTGGTCAAAGTAATAAATACAACTGATACATCAGTAACATAATATCAGTGTTTATAATATAGACATAGAAATGTACAAGTGCATAGGATCACTCACTATCATGGCGAAACAACCAGACCACAATGACAGACAGAATTTTCATTTTTGGGTGAACTATCCTTTTAATGTGTATGAACCATCTGAACAAAATAATTCACTAGAATGAATGAATGAATGTGACATTCCAACGCTGCATATGAGCACATACACTACACAACTTTTAAAATATGAACAGATTTTAAAACACTAGGCATCATACACTTGCCGACTTTGTATATAGTTACAGAGGAAATTACTGGGCATCATACTAAATGACTAAGGAAGGATCACACAAGTCAGAACAGAACAAACTCGCACATAAACTCATGCTTTGTTTCTAGGAGACGCATGAAAAATGAAAACAAAGTGTTCTTAATTCAGCTCAAAATATTAAACATGTTTGAGGTCCTACCAAACTTTGAAGCTAAAAATAAAAAAATAAAGATTTGGAGTCTGTGACTATCATACACTACACTGTTTTCTGTGAAATCTGTCAACTCAAAACTGCAGACTGACTAGGGATGTCAATTTACAACAATTCCCATGATCGATCGTCATTTAAATTAAAGATCAATGAATCGATTAATCGTTAGCCCTATATTGCAATATTGCAGTGGCATACAGCCAACAGCATGACATTGACAAGGTGTGCAAATGCTGCTTAAAACGCCGTGTTTCTCACCAAATGAATGAGAAGGGTTTTTGGTCTAAATAAAGGGCTAGTAGGATTGTAAGATGAGTCAATGTGATTGATTATTTAATTAAATTACTTATTTAATAATCAAACAAAGACTAATAGCCTAAAACATGTCAATGCCGCCTCAGATGTGTGTTAGTCAGAACGGGTAACTCCTGTTTGTGGACGCGATCGTTGATTAATCGTTAGCATCCCTGAGACTGACTATGACTTTCACCAAATAGAATCAACTTGTCCAGACGGTAAATCTGGGGGTAAATCTGGGCAAAAGTTGCGTACTGTATTCCAGCCTTTAAAAACAGCAAATGAAACATTTAGAGGGAAATAAAAACTACCTTGATACCAAAGGCTACACTATTTCTGAACTACGGTCGGTAAGGCTTCCAAATTACAACTAGTGGCGCTGCAAATTTGGGAAAGCTGCCTGATTCTCAACACTGACTGTACACATCAATAATTTATCTTCCCTTCGGGAAACTCATGCTATGCAGCTGTGATGTGGCTTCTGACCCTGGGAGCGAAGTGAGAATGCTCTAAGACCACAGGCCATACCATGTTTTAATGACTGCTGAGTGACTGTGTGGCTTATTCATGGAGGGGGGGGGGGGCAGAGCATATGGTCTGCACAGTTCATCTAACAACAAACTCACTCTCGAACACCAGCACAGACAGAGAGCACTGTGGACAAATGGAGTAAAACCGAAGCATCTGGAACGACCCAGCAGCTAAGAATACAACACACACACACAGCTGACTGATCAGAGAAAGGGGTATAGATAGACAATTACAAACCTCCCATCAGTATAGGGCACTACCTCCATCCTGTTCCTCTCTGTATGACTACAAAAACAACAACTTGTACTACTACATCCTGATCAGAGCACCCCACGCCAGCCGTTCTGAATGCCAAGGGTCATAAACTGCCGACCAACACGGACAGCTCACTCACTGTCCAAAACAGAAGGTTACTTCATGGCAGAAATTAAATTTGGCTACAATTCTATTGGAAATAGAATAGCAAAAAATAATGTCTAAATGATTATAATGAAGTTGTCCGGGTTCACTTCACTACCTTGAGTGCATATTTGATTTCTGTGATGTGCAGGGCATTAGACGCCACATCAAAAATACAGAAAGCATTTTTGCCAAGATCCAGAGCAGCTTAGAGAAATCAATCGGGTATAAAAATCAGCCGTTGGTGCATTAACCCTCCATTAATTCTGTTTGTCCTGAAAACCACACACATACTGGAAGTTTTCACAAGCTCATGGTTTACCATTATGTAAAAAAAGAAAGCAAAGTGTCTGAAACTACTCAGGAATCGCTGCAAAATGCTACATCTTAGAGGTCTGATTGGTTAGCATTAGGACAGCACGCCGTCCAGACCGGCGAAATAAAGTGAAACTATATTTGAAAGAGCACAGAGACGCCTGAATTACTTTGGCAATGAAAAACAGTTAAGTGCAAGATATGCTGATCTGATCTGTACATAACATTATAATAAGAACACCACTGTAATAGATATTTGTAATTTCTTTGTGCTTTACATATTAAAACTAGTGTATGAAATGGCAAATGTAAATTATATAATTGATTTTTCATTTTCAATTTGCACCAACGTTGCACAAATGTAATGGAAAATGTCAATTTAAATACAGAAATGCATAGCCATTTTAGATATTGCATTGTCATTTTGCATATTACATTTCAAATTGAATATTTCTACCCATATGCTTTCATACTGGAGGGCCACTGTCCTGCACAGTTTAGCTCCAACCCTAATCAAAGTTATCAAACATATCTGAACAAGCTAATCAAGGTCTTCAGGAACACCAGAATGCTACTGGCAGGTGGTTTTTAGCAGGGTTGGAGCTGAACTCTGCACTACAGTGGCCCTCCAGGACCGAAGTTGCCCATCCCTGATCTAGAGGGTTCAACTGGATAGGCTAACAAAAACATTAAAACGCAACAACGCCATCATCGCATCTCGTGTGCCACGACGCACACCTAAAATTTGAATGCACTGTTTTTGCATTATACGTGCATTTTTATTTTAAATTGGACAAATATTCAATATTCAAATTTTAATTTGACAGCCCTAGTTTAAATGTATAGGAATAATTATTTAGGTCTTTAATGGCATTCATTAGCCACATTAGCAGGAGCATAAACAGGAATGTTCCCGACAGGTGCTGCTGACCTCCATGTGGTAATTCCCTCCTGGAGAGCGTTGTCATGATTTAACAGCTGCCATGGTGCAGCAACTGTCAGACACGAATTTACCACAGCGAAATCTGACAGAAGTCAAAGCTAAAGAGCTTTTTGCCCGAAAGCATTAGTATGTAAAGTACAAAATGAAACGGAAGACTTTCAGTGGCTCAGTACAAGTATTTTAGTCCCCTCATGAGTCTCTTAAAGGTAACACAGTAGATGATTGATGGCTCCTTTAAAGAGCCTGCACTCTGACACACTTCCCTTCCCCCTGTAATGGAGACATAAACCCCCCTGACTTTGCGCTAAGCGCTCAAACTCACGCCTACCATTGCACTCTAGACTCTCCAGCCGAACGCTCTTCTGAAAACCCTCAGTATTTATGTAAATACACACTCAAATATGAGCAGAGTCTGATGGAATTGTCAGCCCTCAGTTGAAGATAATGGAGGTGTTGCCATGCAGGACAAAAATCCAACCGCAAAGAACAGCCCACCATTGATTGCAGCAACAACTCACAAGCGTGTGTGTCTGCACACTAATAAAAATCACCAAGGAAACTGTTTGTCTTTAATTCAGAGCACTAAACACCAAGGAACAGGGAGTTCATGTCATGCAATTTTGCTTCATGCAGCTCTCTAATAGCATGACAGAAATTGACAGAAATGGAGGTGCAAAATCCTAAATGACAATGGACCTCCACATGTGTGACTAATACATCATTTAAGCTGGCATAAACCGACAATAATTATCCAAACGCTAGCAGAAAAACATCCAAAAACAGAGACAGACTGCAGTGTAAGAGTTTACACAAATGACACTGGTGGCTCTCATTAAACGTTCAATACTCAAGGAACTACAAGCACTGAATGTCCAAATAGTCTGAGGAACAATGGCCACAACTGCTCATTTCTATCAGAGACTTGAAAGTTCAAAGATCAGTATAATTTGTTTTGTTTTACACAGTGGAGTTCTCAACAGGCATGCGATGAGGCTTGAAAATAATGAGGTTCCATTTTGTGCCAAAAATAAATTGACTACTTTGTGCTTCATACTACACATACTGTCTACAGTCACTGCCTACTTGTTCAGATAAATTAGTATATGCATGTTCTGTTTATGTCATTGTCTTCTGACATCTTTACTGTTATCGTCTTCTGTCGTCCTTACTGTACTCTTGTTCTGTCGTCTTTACTGTTGTCTATGGAAGGCGGTTTAAAAAAAAAAAAGTGTTTTACAGATATATAAACAAAAAACAAAATACAAAGTCTTATCTGCCAGCAAAGTAAAGAATGCAAAATAATTGCATTCATTCATGTGCGTGGAAAAAAATAACACGTTAAAATGATTTCATGTATTTAACGCACCCGCCACAGACTACATTTCATACAGTTGATTGGTGACAAACATGAAGCAGGGCAAAAACTCACTGCATAATGGAGTCTAAAGAATGCACCTACAATTCAAGATATTGGGGCAAAAATGTCCATGTATGAGTTGTCTCATATTTATCATATGATCTAGTTAAGCAAGATCACAAAAGTGCTGTTTTTGTACGGACAGAACAAGACTACAGTAAAGACGACAGTAAAGACATCAGAACAAGACTACATAAACAGAAAACATGTCAAAATACACTGATTGTAATAATTATTGTAGACATGGACACATAGTATAATGCACAAAGCAGGCTACTCATTTCTGGCACAAATGGAACCTCATAGAAAAACTGAAAATGAACTAATTTGCGACCTCTCAAACTAATCTGTTGGCTGAACATTTGTGTGCGCTGTCTGATGATTCTAGTCAAATCATGTTCTTCTGAGCGCCAGTCATTTGGAATATGAATACCTACCTTTCCCACATTCACGCATGACATTGTGATGTCTCACTTAACAAATAGTCCATTGTAATACATCCTAACACAAAAGTGAGAACCACTTACCCTCTCTGTGCCCTTGCTTTTCTAAAACGTTGCTCCCGTCAACCTGCAAAAAGAACGTTGTATGGTTAGACTGGCATTTTATCAGTGAACATCGGTGATGATTCCCAGACAGTATTTGCGGACTTGCTGTCCTTTACCTCCATTACCATGGTTATTTGCGGTCTTCGTGTATTATTTATACTGCCTCTATTAGAGTTGGGTTTTCCCCTTAATAATTCTGGGAGAAAGACAGATCTTACAAGAGAGTCAATGCTGCACAATTTGCCAATCTCAGAATAAAAACTAACCAGGTGGTTGGTTACAACTGGCCTTATGAAATGAAGCCAAATGAAATGCAAAGGCAGAATACAAGCATATAGCCTATTGCCCCTCTACATTAAGATAATATAAATTTTTAGTGCAACATTTTTACTTTATTCTCACAATGCTAGCTGTGTATTTTTTCTGACTGGTTATGTTTAGCCTATGCCAGAGGGTGTACTGTATATTACAATGTATTAGTTGGAGGAAGATTCATATTCATTACAACATTATGGCTAAATTATCCCGTTAACAATCTCAGCCAGGTTAAAGAAATCAAGTTCATTATCAAACAGCGGAATTAGACAAACAAACCAAAGATCCCATTTAATCACATCAAGCAGAATGGACCTTCTTGCTCTTCAGGCGGTCCATTCAATAGCATGTTATCAGCCTATGTTGTCTTTTCCCTGGAAAGCTTTTACCTACAAGGCTCCTGTTCTAGACATAACTCATTTCTATACCAAACTACAACTGAAGGTCACAACACTGGTAACATAATAAAGCATTCCCAACAGAACACAGTCCAGTCCACATTAGATTACCACTGCATTAAACACTGACTAGTCCTGATATAGGACTATAATTCAGATTCCTTAACTCATGTTCAAAAAGCTTTAAAATGCATTATTCCTATATAATGGGTTGGCTTGGAAGTAAAAAGACAATAGTCCATTGTGAAGCTCTTATCAAATGATAGTGATAGTTCACGTGACAGTCCTGAACAGCAGCAGCTTTCTGTTCAGCAGGCCTCTGTGCTCAAAAACCAGCAGGCCAGAAACGAATACTTCTTACTGCATTTAACTTTACACATTTTGTTGACATACTTTGTGGAAATAAGCTGCAACACGAACAAGATTCAAATTAAATTAGATACAAACATAGACACTGAATGTGATGATCTCAGAAGTACTTTTGCATGTTGTATTTATATTTTATTAGCACGTTAGCTTTGAAACAAGCAAGTAAAAGGACTATAGTACTATCAGGTAGAGACATTTAATTCGCAGCAAGTAACGTTACTAGGAGAGTCGCTAGCTTAACTTGCTGTGATCGATACTACACGCGATTAAGCCACACAGATGCATGTTACTTGCAAAAGGAGCTTTTTGCAAATGGAGAATATGACAGGCTCTGTTATAAAAACGTAACACTGCTACTATACGAACACATTTGCTACGTTCATTTGAATTTAGCCGTGGAGTGACCATGCGTTTTCCAACATAACCTCTAACGTTAGTTAACAGTTACTTCATTTCCAGACCGATCGCAGTGAAAATAACGTTACATCCAATTTTAAGACCGCCTGTTTGGGAGTTCTGCTCATCACCTGCATCGTTTTAATTGCGTTGCATCATTGTTACACTTCTCAGTGATGCTAAACTTAGCAGAACAGCTCAAACAGCACGCCGAAGTTACACAGGTTTAGATAACTCTTGACGCAACCGTGCATGTACTACTGACCAAAACGGCAACTATAACCGAAATGAGTCCTATGGGCGCGCGGTGGTCGATATGCTCTTACATAATGACGCATGTTAACGCGTGCTAGCGACCGTAAACAACCACCAGTTAGCTCGCGCAGCTACAACCGTGAACAATCAACACTTACCCTCGATGCCCCCTTTTTCAAACGGAGGGAACTGAGTAGGTATGGTGTGCTGACACAGGTAAATGATTGTTTAGTGGGATTTGTGAATTAGTTAGTTTTCTCAGATTACGTCTTCCCACGACAACCCTACTTTCTGGGTGAAACAGGGACGGTGCAAAATGGCTGTCTTTCCTGCATGCACCATCACATTTATTAAAAGGGGATTGGGGTGGAGCCTCTGTCGAAATGTACAGGGCAAATATGTACTTTTGGAGACAAAACGTTGATGGACGTGAGTATAACAACAAATTATATTGGTCTTTTATGACAAATTGCCATATAAATACTTAAAACAGAAGTTAGAAGGAATTGGTTGAAATACGCCCCCCTTCTTAAAGAGACAGATACACGTTTCTCTCACGTGGTCGCTGAAGTCAATAAAAACCCAAAAGGCCTGCGCGACGCGTGTGATATGGAGATAAACATGTGTGTAACTGACAGACTGGTTAACGTGAATTGTCCTTCCAATGTCTGTGCAGTTGTGTTGGTATTATTATGTGTTTTATTATAGAATGCGTTATATAATCCATTCACAATGCCAAATAATCCTAAGAAAGCACAAATACATTTTATCCACACTGTAAAAGGACATTAACCACGTCTGCAGGCACATGTCCATTTCCGTCTTTATCCTTCTGCGGTTTGCATGCTATTGGACTATTAACCAGAAATTCTGTTGTAGCTTTTTTTTTAAACGAATGTAATCGAGTAATCAATGTTCATTCACAATAACCATCACACAAGAACACGATAAACTATACATTTATCAATATATATATATATATATATGTATATATATATTTAGATGGGTGTTATTGGTCCGGTGATCAGTTTCTAGTCGCTGGATATTATAGACAGTACTCCTGTATCCAGCCAATTAACCTCCAAAACAGAAGAGGGCAATGTCGAGGATCTGTGACAGGCGTCGAAGAAAAAAACTTAAAGAGCGTCTCTTTCATGTGCACTAGGAGTAGTTGAGAAAGAATGAAATTTCGGTGACTCGTTTCGTTCGTTTACATGTGGAACGATGTCCAGTGTTCTAGCAAGGATTTTATTTTATCCCACACTCGCTTACAATGTTGTCATGGAAAAGGTCACCTCCAGACAATGGTTTAATCGCGTGGATCCGACTGTCATTCTTGGTGCTCTCCCATTCAGATCAATGACAGATGAGGTAAGATTTGACTTTTATGAATTACAGATATAATTGTAATGATCCTAGCACATTTATAATTTGCCTCATATCGTAGTCCTGTTTAAGGGTTCAACTAATCCCTCTAGTCTCATTTGGCTTTAGTTGGTCCAAAAAGAGAAAATCAGAGGAGTCATTACCATGAATGAAGAATATGAAACAAAATATTTCTGCAATTCAGCTGAGGTAAGTGTCTGTCTCTCCTAACTCTTTCACTCATTCCCAACTATAATCACAGATGGCAATGTACATCTAAGGATGCTTATATTAATAACAGGAGTGGGAAGCTGTTGGCGTTGAGCAGATCAGACTGGACACAGTGGACCTGACAGGTGTTCCCAGCCTAGAGCACATCCACAAGGGTGTGGACTTCACTTTGAGACATCGACAGCAAGGCAGTAGTGTCTATATTCACTGCAAGGCCGGCCGTTCACGCAGTGCAACTATTGCAGCTGCATACCTCATCAGGGTGGGTATCAGTCTGTCTGCCTGTCCTACACCATGAACAATAGTAAAACCAGCTGCATCAATACAAATATTACACGTATTCTTTGAGCATTTGAGCAAGACGCACCTGAAATTTTTTCTCCATAATATTGTTGGTGGAGAATTTTGGAGAGGGAACATTAATATATAGGTTAATTCAAGTGATGCTGTTTACTTCTCTACATGAAACCCACACATGCATGCAGAATACAAAGGGACTTTTACTTAAAGTGCCCCATTATGCTATTTTAAAGTTTCCTAATGTTGTTTTGGAGTCTCCTACAACAGGTTAACACGCATCAAAGGTAATTTTTTTTTTTTAATTTTCTGATAATATACATTTGCACATCTCCACATTTTCAATGATTCTCAAACGACTCGTCAGATGAATCAATCTCTCTAAATCCCTCCTTTCCGTGAGCTACTCTGCTCTGATTGGCCGGCCGGCTCAGTCTGTTGTGATTGGTCTACCGCGTACAGCGCGTGTCGAAAACAAAAACGCCCATTGCCCTAACAACGTCAGCTCTGCCTGTCCTGAGGCTTCCTACACCTTAAACTAAACACAGTAACGGACAATGTCGATTTTACCATATCAATGCGAGCACGAGTGTGATGATGAAACACTGGAAGAACTATTAATTCAACCCGAACCTCCATCTCAAGGACAACTCGAACAAGACGTTTCCCAGTGATAACTACTCAGTTGAGGTACATTATGAGATGTTGCAACTGTAATTCCTAACCATCAGCATTAACAAGTGCATGTCCATCAACAAACCGATTATTTTACTTGTACTAATTTATTTACCGAGTATTTTTCTAATTTATTGCGGTGAACGTGGAAACTATCAATAACAGTGCATGCATTAGCCGAGCTCTAGCGTGAATGACTGATGTAACATAAACGCTGGTCTACGCTTAATCTTTACTCAAAGTAGTGAGAACGACAGACAATCTGCATTAATAGACACAGTTTTAGGTAATAGTGGCCCACAACTGATTAGCAGAAGTATTTCAGTAAGACAGTAATAATGTCAGTTAGCAGGAGACCTACACAATATAAAACTCAAAACTAAGTATTTTGAACACCATCGTTCAAGAGCAAGCGGTGTGCGAATCCTGCATTGAACTCTGAGATTTGAGAAGCAGTCGTCAGTAAAATAAAGGGAACACAGCAAAAGTTTAGGATTATACTGCTGTGGTATTGTGGTAAAGATGAATTTTACCCACTGATTCTTCACATGCTCGTCCTTGGGGAGTGAAGAAAAACTGGCTTTACCTTCACATTATAGAGCACAGCGCCGTCTTCTCGACACAATGCTGTCCAGTATCCACAGGAATCAGCTGCCGGTTTGAGGTTCAAGTTTTCCCTGGTGTCTGTGCGCACAAGAAGTGGGCGGGCAATATACTAATGTTTCATCTTGACGTCATGACGAAACGGCTTATGACTCGTTTGAAAAACGATTCATTTCGTTGACTCCGAGTCGACTCTTACTTTTGAAAGACAATAACTTTATATACGGTGCACTTTCAGATTTAAAACTTTGAAGGATGTTTTTATCCACTTAGAGCTATGTTACACACTACATGAAAGGTCATTTTCAAAAACCCATAATAGGGGCCCTTTAAGCTTCACTTATCCTTTTTTTAAAGAAGAAACATAATTTCACTGATTATACACACGCAGTATATTATTTATATAAATTTGTTCCTTCAGTATCAACCAGTTATTTCTGAAGATGCTTATATATAATTATATGCATTGTATCATGCAGTTATATAAAAGGAAAGAAAAACAGTTCTGTCAAACGAATGTTAGAAGACTCAAGAGTGTGACAGTCTTTGGAATCTGCATTTTATGTTAAACCAAGGTTATAACCATGTAAAATTATTAGAATTATACTTGTAAGTGATATAGGAATATATTATATTTCTATTTAAAAATATTCCAACATTCACTCTTAAAAGTGTGTCTAATATGTCAAAAACAGCTCCATTAATGTTCTTTGTCTCATCAGTTATGAATTAGCCTACATTAATCACAGTTGAGTTGTTTGCCTCAATGTCTATGGTAATTAATTATGGCCCTGTGTTTAACCTTTATTCTCCTTTCACAGCTACACTGTTGGAGTCCAGAGGAGGCCTGTAAGATGCTGGCCTCAGTCCGGCCTCATGTGCTGATCCGCTCAGCCCAGCTGGAGGTGCTGCAGGAGTACTATAAGCAAGTCTGTGCTTCCGAGTCCAGCTAGAAGATACACAGTGTACAAATGCCAACATTTATGCTGAATCTCATATACGTTGTTTTTTTCCTTGCTGGAGTGCATATTTTTTTTATATATTTGTATAAGATTTTGTGTACTATACATAAAAATAGACTTTAAGCTATAATGTCAATCTGGATCATCGGCTATATTGTGAATATATATTTATACTTTTTAAAATTTCTATCACCTCAGATGTTCAGACAGTAAATTTCCAAATTGTATTTAATTTTGTTTTAATAATATTAGAACAGATTTCTTTTTCTTTTTTATCCCACCCAGGGCCGTCCATTTTCCGGAACGTTTTCTGGGGCCCAGCCGCTAGGGGGGGGGCCCATGCAGTCCAGCAGAAATATAAGCAAAGTTCACCATATTTTATTTTTAACCAAAATAGCACCATTTATTGTTGAAAGTGAGAAAAAAATGAATTTTTTTAATGTTGCTTGAGTAAAATGTAGCCTGTGTCATAATGAAACACCCCTCTCCTGAAAATGGTCTGAGTAGGCTATTTTTTGTTGTACGTAAGTCAAAACGCCGGTGCTTCGCGCCAGTTCACGGTCAGCAGCGCAAGTGAGTGACACTGGAGTGCGCGAATTGACGAAGATACTCTCAGCAAAGGAAGAAATTGTTTAGGGAATTGGGAGCAACAGGAGAAACTGTTTTTAATTTATGCTCTTTATTGAATTTGGACAGTTGGGAAAAATTAAAAAAATTGATGGAGTATTTGCTAAATATTGGAGTATATAAAAAGATATAGATAAGCAGTATTAAAGTTGTATATAGCGATTAGAGAACAGAGGAGGGCAGCAATACCCCATAGCTGCGTCTAGCCTGCCGGAAATACAAGAAGAAGAAGACACGGTAAGACCATAGACAGTAAAAGAAAAAGTAATGGTGTGTTCACACCGAACGCGAATATAACTATTTGGGCGAGTAGATTACATACAAAGTCAATGCAACGACGCGAATAGACGCATCATTCGCGCCAGGCGTTGCGAATGACGCGAATTGGGCGACGCGTTTGCCGCGAATGTCCTCCGCGCAAGTTGAAAAATTTGAACTGGAGCGAATGTTCAAGCGTCTAACTAAACGCGATAGACGCGTATTTGACGCTCTATTCGCGTTCGGTGTGAACACACCATAAGGCTGCCACTCTGCAGAAGCAAATTCCATCCTATCTTCGATATGTTGGAGTAGTTTTAGTCGGACAGTGCACATGACAACTGCTGAAAATGACATGAAATATTCTCAGTCCTCGCGCATCTGACAAGGCCTCATTAGATAATTTACAGGATGATTTTAGGCAATCGATTGCTTCAATCACACTGGGGAGATGGTGAGCAATAGGTCTTATGGTGTGTTCACACCGAACGCGAATAGAGCGTCAAATACGCGTCTATCGCGTTTAGTTAGACGCTTGAACATTCGCTCCAGTTCAAATTTTTCAACTTGCGCGGAGGACATTCGCGGCAAACGCGTCGCCCAATTCGCGTCATTCGCAACGCCTGGCGCGAATGATGCGTCTATTCGCGTCGTTGCATTGACTTTGTATGTAATCTACTCGCCCAAATAGTTATATTCGCGTTCGGTGTGAACACACCATTATGGTGTGTTCCAGGGGCGGAGTGGGACCAAAAAATCTACCGGGAAATTTCGTAGACCACCGGCCCTCGTCGCCGGCAGGGCCGGATTAAGAGCCCCCTGGGCACAATGTCTTGTAGGTCCCCTCTTAGGCAGGCCAAATGTATATTTTGTCCAGGGACATTTTAATACGGCATTTACAGTTTTACTGATTTAAAAGTAACTTTGTTGTACTATGCTGGAGTAAAGTTCATAAATGGTCGTTCTTTCCCATAGGAATTTTTAAAACTATGTTGGGTGGACCTCTGTGCCTCTAGGGGGGTTCGGGGGCATGCTCCCCCGCAAGAATTTTTTTTACATTTTAAGGTTAAATGCATCAATCTCGTGCTCTTTGAGAGATCAAAATTAAGAGCTTCAACCCATGAACTGCTCGTTGAACAAAGAAAAAGCATTGATTTGTACCAGGACAATAAAGAGGGCATCTTTTTAGTTATGAGAGTCTCAGTCTGCATTACATTATCAATGATGTTTTAGGATGCCAAACAATTATTATTATAATGTAATAATGATTTATATAATTATTCCTATGACGTAAAATCCATTTAGCCTATAAATGTACTATATAAATGAAAATGAATATTTCAAAAGTATATTTTAGCCTACATTACACTATAATATAGGACAATTAAAATATTTTTGTCCTAATTTCTTCATTTGCAAGAAATAAACCCTTGAGCTTTTAGGAGAAAACACCAGATAACCATGCTGATCGCGTGAGCAAAGTAATCACCCAGCACAGACAGGATGCCTATTCTTAAACCCACACAGCAAAAGGACTCCGCGGCGGATCTGCCGCGGAGGTATCGCGGCTTCCGGAACGGACCCGCGAAACGGACCCGTATCGGCGTCCACTTGCTCGCAGTGACGGATCCGCAACGAAGGCGGATCGCGGACCCGCCGTGGCTCCGCGCTGCATCCGCTACGCATCCGCCATTAAAACCTTACCTCTGCGGCGGGTCCGTTTGGGACCCGCAAATTGATACATACATCCGCCGCGGACCCGCAACGGACTCATAAAATTCTGGCTCATCTGGCCCGGGTCCGTTTTGGACCCGTTTATCTCATTTTTAAAATCCCTTCTGTTCTTGCTGTAGGATAAAATAGGATAAACTAAACTATAGGATAAAACCAAAAACTATAGGGCTAGCCTAGGCTAGTACTACAGCAATATAGATCCAAGCTTAAATCTGCATCGCCTTGTATTTTTAACCTAACAATATTGTAAATAGGCCTAACATAAAAGTTTCGATACAAGACATCAATTTACTGTACAAAAGTAATCACTACTCAATGGAAATATAAAATTGACATTTACATTTATGGAAAGTTATAGGTTATACCCTATTCTGGTTTGTTAAGTATGTGGGCCAGGCTAATCTACATTCATTTTGTGGTCAAAACCTAATTTAGTGCTTTATAGGCCTAGGTCAGTGTAAACATAACATATTTTATCTATTAGGCTACAACTTCAATGAAATGCTGCACTATGTACAGCTAAAATATCAGAAAATGAATAACTGGTGAACAACAAGAAGTTCAATAAAAAGATGGTTTAATGTTTAATCATTTCTCCTATTACTCAGTTTGTGTGGATGGAGGCGGGACACGTCTCCTTGTTGCCCGATCTGTCGCCAGGTTGAACCACCTGATAGCATGCTTGGTGACCTGTGCATCTCCGCATCTGTGGCTGACCGCGTCACCGAGTTTTTTCTCACAGCACCTGTAATCAAACAGACAGATATTAACACAATCATAAAATTATATTACATACTGATTAGTTAACACATCTTCCTTAGTAGTTAACAGCAGTGACTTAAGTGTTAATAAAGAATTACCTAATTCCTTATTAGTTATGCAGTAAGTAAGAAACAGTATTCTAAAGTGTTACCATAAAGTCAAACAAGTGTTAAGAATCAGGTTTGTGAGAAATATAAATATTGTAGCTTGGTCATGTACCGGTCTGAAAGTAAGTGGCTTTCCTTGAGAAAGGAAGTCTGCATATTTGCAGATAAAAGCACCACAGTCATTTCCATTTGGCTGTTTGGGAATTGCCTAGAAACAAAATTCCAAGTAAGTATAACGGTAAACAAAAGGGCACAGTTTAAAGAATATTTGTATAACTTATTATATGAGGGTATGCATACATTGGTTCTTATTCGGCCGATGGTCCATCTGGAAGCCTCAAAGCAGCAGGCTTGGAGTTTCTTCTCCTCCATGAGGTATTTCCTGTTAATTAAATCACACGAGACATGCATACATGCCTTCAAAGCCGTTTGAGGTTAAAACCAAAGTTGTAATTGGACATAACTCACAACAATATCTGGCAGATCTCATCATGTCTCTGACCATGGAGTCATAGCACTGGAAATAAATTACCTGGTGATAAGCAATGGAGGTCGAAGGTTAAAAAAAAATTGTGTAAAGGTAAATATAAAATTTTTACACTTTTAATCATACAGTATAAATATGGAAACATTGTGTTACAAAGGCATTACTATTCATAAATTACTTACAGCCAAAGCCCAGTGCAAGTCAAGGTGCAAAGGAACAAGAACTAGATCATAGAGGAAGAGATCCACTGTTTTGGTCCATTTCTTCACTGCTGCATGGATTGCAAAATGTCCGTCTCTCTCGTGAATCCCCTGTAAACACACACAGGTATCTGATACACATGTAATATGCCATTTTAATAACTGACAGTACATTTCACTAATTACCTGTTTTTGTATAAACAAGTGCATCATTTTTATTCTGTAAACGCTATTTCTATCAAATGACGGTTATTAATAATTATGGCAGATTTAAAAAATTTTTTTATTAAATCAATAATTATATCGATTAGCTAGCTCTATAAAATCTACAATGTTTTTATTTTAGATGTATTGAGGGTAATTTGTTTTGTGTGGATATTCATGCATGCATTACAGCACATTCATTAAAAATCATTAATTTAACCATTGTGAATGTGAATATCCGAGGGTAACTTAACGGTTGTTTCACGACCAATTTCAAAGTTCCGTTCGACTGAAACTAGGAGGCGAAATGCGACAATCGTATGCCAATGTCGTGTGCAGTGGAAAGGCGGCAACTGCACATCCAATGGCGCGGGCGCCTCTGACGTGCGAGCTGCGTGCGACCAATGAGCCAACTCTACGTCAGTCAGAGCCCGCCAAGGGGGCGCCAAGTCCCCGAATTGTCCATTATAGCAGGTCTTCGTTCACTAGTCTGTCTGACATTTATATTTTAGAAGCTATGTGTCTGTCATGGATTTGCACTGAATTGATTCTCAAAAATACGGAACAAAGTGCGTTCCGTATCAGTTCAATACGGACAAGACTTGACTTATTATGTGTCAAATAAGCTGTCAACCCCTCCCTCTCGAGCAACTGACAGGACGCGAAGTCATGGCAACCAAATTAAACAGGGCGAGTAGGCCTACTACTTGTCACTGAATCTTATTTATTAGTGTATATAATATATTATAATATACATAATATATTTGCCTATAGGCAAAGTGACAAACAGCGTTGAAATCCGCACTCACGTGGGTAGCGTTACCGTGAAATATGACAGCTAACGTTACAGTTTATTGGAAAATAAATGTATTTATGAATTTGATGAATTTAGTGTTTACTGCTATCAGTCCCAAGACAAGAAGCTAACGTTAGCGAACGCTGCAGGGACCCTCTGCCTGTGACTCCCCGCTGCAGGAGACGCTGCTCCGACACGCTGTATTAACGATACTGTTTTAAAACCAACATGATAAACGTAACGTTAGCTAATAATGTTCACTTAGCGTTTTGATTTGTTGTTAAACTATGTAACGTTAATGCACAGCTAGCTAGAAGCTAGCACTGAATCATTATCCACGAGTGAACATGTTAAAGTTGTCAATAATTTCAAACAACGACATTACAATAATTTACATGACGATAAAAAAACAATGTTTACAGTCAATGTCGCAATATATAAATAACTTACTTACTCAAAAGAGGGTTCAGCGCAACCGTGTCCCAGCAAAGAAAGTCTCGACTGATGATCGGCTCCTGGACTGGTGTGCTGTAACGTTAGTTCAACCGTTACAGTAAAGGCGCGTCCGCGTCCTAGGATCCGACATGGGTCCGCACTGGATCCGTTGTTTGACAGTAGGATTTACGGCGCCTCCCGGAGGCGGAGCTGATCCTCTGGGCGGCCCCAAAACGAATGTGACAGTTACGCGGGTTTGGCGACTTGAACGCGGATCCGCTTAGGAGTCTCCTGCTGTGTGGGAAGTCTTGTGCTGTTTTATAAAGACACAAAGCCATATCATGGTTTCAATTTTAGTTCGTTGGCAAAATATAACGCTAGAGACCTTAATGTTAGGTTATACATTTTACATCTTTACATATGTGTTGGGAAAAGGGAGAAGAGAGAGTTCGGCAAAAGGCGGATTCGAACTCGGGTCGAGCGCATCAAAAGCTGCTTTCAAGCACTTCACGCCCTACGACCTACAACACTGTAGCTGTTTCGTAACGAGTGTCTTTTTGCTTTAAAGACAGGCACTTAGTGCAAATATACGCTCCGTTATAGAAAATGTTAAAAAAAAAATGTTTTCTTCCCCTCGCTTGGGCCCCAAGTGCGCATGGCGAATTTGCAATGAATATATTTTATCAGACCGGCCCTCGCGGCCTCGAAACAATACCGGCCCACCGGGAAAACTCCCGACTCTCCCGATTGCCACTCCGCTACTGGTGTGTTCACACCGAACGCGAATAGAGCGTCAAATACGCGTCTATCGCGCCTAGTTAGACGCTTGAACATTCGCTCGAGTTCAAATTTTTCAACTTGCGCGGAAGACGTTCGCGGCAAACGCGTTGCCCAATTCGCGTCATTCGCAACGCCCGGCGCGAATGATGCGTCTATTCGCGTCTTTGCATTGACTTTGTATGTAATCTATTAGCGCAAATAATTAAATACGCGTTCGGTGTGAACACACCATTAGATATTGGACGGGTCGCGGGAATGGGGTTGTTTCATGACAATTTTCGTTCTTTTTTTTCATTGGTTGTTGCGTTAAATCGTACCCAGATAAAATAGTGCTATTTTCTGATTGGCTTTTGTGTAGCTCGACTCTTACAACACAGGGGAGACGCGCTTGATTCCTGCCGGGTCCAAAGTGAGAGCGGCGCGGCCAGAGTTTTGGGCGCTGCGGCATATTAAATATATTATAAATCGTTTTTTTCGCGTGAGAAATACAATGTGTGGCGGGAGTGCGTGACAAAAGACCGAAATGAGTGACACTTGAGAGCCCTGTGTGTGTGTGTGTATTAGACCCCATCACTGAGTAAGTCTCTCTCAGTTAAATGTATGTGTTAATGTGAGAGAGAGAGAGAGAGAGAGAGAGAGAGAGAGAGAGAGAGAGAGAGAGAGAGAGAGAGAGAGAGAGAGAGAGAGAGAGAGAGAGAGAGAGAGAGCGAGCACACACACACATGATATGAGTAGCCTATTGCAGATTTGGGGAGGGCCCATTCACTGGACCTTTTCAGGGGCCCAGTCATTTCTGTGGGCGGGCCTGATCCCACCTAGCCTCTTTTTGTTGGAAGCTGTTCAAAAACCTGTTTCTTTGTGATTATGTATAAGATCGTGATATTTTTTAATTGTCAACCGCAAACATAATCTTGAATTCCTTCTTGGCAGTTAACTATGTATTTAATTATTTATTGTTATACACTATAATGAAATAGAGAGAGGTGTACAACTGGTTCTGTACTGGCTTATTTAAAACCATTTCAAATACATTTTAATTAAAATAAAATAATGGTATGCTGTGGTCTATTTAGTGAAATATGTGAACAGTGTTTGTAACCCTAGAAGGTCTACTGTATCAAATTTGATACATAAGTTTCTAATGCTTCTAAACTATTCACATGATCAAAACATTGCTCAAAAACTTGTTGCACACAATATTGGTTAGGTTATTAATCCCCCGTTTGTTGTAAACAAACAATGACATCAAATTAAACATTACAGTAAAAAAAATAAGACATAATTAAAAATGCAATACAAAATAGAACACAATCAATCAATACAGTAATTATATATCTTCATTTAAAAACCGAACTGCAGCCGTGATAAAAGACCTTTTTTAAATCGCTCAGTGGAACACTGAGGCATCGCTAATCTCTCACTAAATTAACTTTAGCTAAAAAAATACTTAACTAAATATGGCCTGTCCTCTCTCGATCTCTACTGTCATCACTCCTCTTTTATGCTTCCGCTCCTCCGTGAGTGTGAGCTCCATATTCTCACTATATCATATGGGCCATAAAAACCTGATGTAGCCTATTAAATATGATACAAAACATAAAACACATATACACATATTTATATTTTGTCTAAAGGTTCAATTATTGAACACAAAACGAGATATTTAAAGAAGATAAAAGATAAAACAAAGATATTTCAAGGAAAAAAAATACTATGGAAGTCAGTGGGTGCCGCCAGCTGTCGTTACCAACATTCAAAATATCTTCTTTTGTGTTTAACAGAAGAAAGAAACTCATACAGGTATGGAACAACTTGAGGGGGAGTAAGTAATGACAAAATTTGAATTTCGGGTGAACTATCGCTTTAATGCCTCGATTGTAGCGCCTGAAGGTGGCAGCAGCGCACTGCAGAACGCATCCGTAACTCCAGCATCAGTAAATCCCGCGAGGAAGGACGGTGAGGGAGTAAAGATGGCGGCCTCCTTGGTTAGATTTGTCCGCAGCGGTTTTGGAAAAAGTCTGAACGGTAAGAAATAAACAAGAACAGCACAGACGTGTTTAAGATGAATTATTTACTCATTTAACCATTATTGTCACTGTGCAGGACCCAAACAAGCTCTCCTGTGTTTGAGGCTTTTCTTCGCTGTTGACCTTTACAAACACACAGAACGTTAATGACCGTGTCGACTGATTTACAGTTATACTCTGAATTATGCCAATACAGTTTATTTTATTCTTGATATTAAGACATCACGCTTCCAGGGAGACGAATTTTTGAGTTATTTGGAAACATAAGGGATGTCTTTAATCTATGTTTTGAATTTCATCAGACACAAACTACCAGTTTGGTTTATTTTGATGTTTTGACCTGAACTTGCCGCAATGACACTATATTGTAATGCATTGATTTCTCTCAATTTCTCTGATAGTTGCTAGACAGAGCGCTGCGATTGTCCAGACAAGAACAACGACAACTGAAACCAGACGTGAGTAGATTTTTGGAAGTCTGTTGTTAACGTTGCGTCTTGCTGTATATTAGGTGTCTTTAACTACTTACGTTACTTACATAAAATGTAAAAATGTGTTGGGTACATGCTATGGTGTTCATTTTGTATTACAAAAAACACTCGAGGTGAGATACGGTTAAGGTCAGGGACAGGTGTAAAGGAAGGGTCAACAGTGTAATTATACAGCAATTATTTTAAGCTGGTATTTTCTTTAGATATTAGTAAAGTGTGAAAAAAAGTATCCACACAATAAGTGCATTGTATCAAATGAATTATTTCAATCTTAGTGCATAGTAGTTAAAGACATTATAAAAGTAAGACCAAATGTCGTTTTGTTTTGCATTAGCTACCGTAAGGCCCAAGGATCCAGTCACCCACACTCAGCTTTCAGAGTTTGGCGAATACATTGCAGAGATTCTCCCCAAATATGTGCAACAAGTTCAGGTAAGTTATTCTCATGTATATCTTTGTCAGATGACAGATTAGTGATTAGTTGCACTCTGCAGTTCCTCAAAACTGGCTCCATTTACAGCCTTTTGTTTGAATCCCAGGTGACCTGCTTTAATGAGCTGGAGGTAATGATCCATCCAGAAGGGATTATACCTGTTCTCACCTTCTTGAAAGATCACACAAACGCTCAGTTCAACAACATGACTGACCTGACAGCTGTGGATGTCCCTACAAGGCACTATCGCTTTGAGGTGAGCATGCTCCGTCTCAACTATGAAATGTCTATAAAATATTATCTTGATTTTGTGTTTTTAGCTAGTTAGATTATTTTAATAGACTTGAATTTTTTAAAATACACAAAGTAGTGCACATAATATGCATACTTTGGTAGCCTGGATGGTGAAAGTTATTGGCATTTGAAATACAAATCCTTTTTCTGAAACCGTCCTGCAAACGATTGATCTAATTTTTTCCTTTTCAGATTGTGTATAATCTGCTGTCCCTGCGCTATAACTCTCGAATCCGAGTGAAGACCTACACTGACGAGCTGAGTCCTCTTGACTCCTCTGTGTCTGTACACCAGGCAGCTAACTGGTATGAGAGAGAGGTATGTGTGACTCTCTGTAATCAGCTGAGGTTTCATGAACAGGTTTTGACACTTGTATATTTCACTCTTCAAAATAGATGTCTGTTTTGTGTAGCATATGCTCAGACACAACAATCTGCAGTGCTCATGCAGTGGAGCCCCTGAGCTGCTTCCCACATGCTATGACACTGCAGACTCTGACTGAGGGAGGGTTGAGGGTTGTCTAATGGTCCATTAGATCATGTATCATAGCTGTAGTTGAATGCAGATGTTAAGTATTTTTTTTTTTTTTTTAAACTTTAGAGACAGTTTGGCTTCACTCTGAAATGAGTTTCATTACAGATTTGGGACATGTATGGAGTTTTCTTCGCAAACCATCCAGATCTGAGACGTATCTTGACAGATTATGGATTTGAAGGTCATCCATTCAGGAAAGACTTTCCTTTGTCTGGATATGTGGAGGTAAATGCACAATTCATTGTTATACAACCTTTTAATAGTTTGGTGTCAGACAGTTTTATCAAAGAAAATCATACTTTTATTCAGCAAGGATGCATTAAATTGATCAAAAGTGACAGTAAGAACATTTATAATGGTAAAAAAATTTTCTATGTCAAATAAATGCCTTTCTTTTGAACCTTCTATTCACCAAAGAATCATTTATGACGAATTCCACAAAATTATTAAGCAGCAAAACATTGATTTTTAACATTAATAATAATAAGAAATGTTTCTTGAGCAGCAAATCTGCATATTAGAATGATTTCTGAAGGATCATGTCACACTGAAGACTGGAGTAATGATGCTGAAAATTCAGCTTTGCATCGCAGGAGTAAATTACATTTTAAAGTACATTAAAATAGAAAACGTGTATTTTAAATCATCATATTTCACAATATTACAGTTTTTAATGTATTTCTGATCAAATGAATGCAGCCTTGGTGAGCATGAGACAAAAAAAGAGTAACCTCAAACTTTGAAACAGTGTATGTAGAGCAATTATGTAATTTTAATTTATTTTAAACATTCCTGTAAAGGGGTGTGGCTTCATTTATGTTGAGTTGTTTTCTTCTATTTTCTCAGGTGCGTTATGACGATGAGGTGAAGCGGGTTGTGGCTGAACCTGTGGAGCTCGCTCAGGAGTTCCGTAAGTTTGACTTGAACAGTCCATGGGAAGCGTTCCCCGCATACAGGGAGCCCAAAGATGCACCCAAGCTGGAGTCTGGGGACAAACCAGCAAAGTAACCCTGGAGAGCTGTAATGATCAGAACATATTTATGTAAATAAGACCCTGTGCTACATCTAAATAAAACAATGAAACGACTCCTGTTTCTGCATGTCATTTAATATTTATAAATTACTATTTTTGTAATAACACTGGTTAAATTTGTTTAACATTTGATAGTTGTATCTGTGTGTGTACACAACTGACTTACACGCATGAAAATAAGCTCTTTTCAGATCTCTGAAGTATCAGGATTATGTGATTTATATTCTACAATTTTAAGAGTTTTGTTAAAAGTCATGCTATGTGATAACATTCCTTAGTTGTTAAATTGAAAAAAGTGACAAAGATAACGCAGGAAAAAATACCACTGATATGTTTTGCTAGACAATTTCTCTAATCAAAATTTTAGTGTGTATATGAATAATGCTCAAATGCAAATTCTTCTGTTCACTGACGTCTGATAACCGTTCTCTTATTTTTATAATTCAGCAGTTAAATGTGCGTATAGCCAAATGCCTTCAAGGTTTTATATACCCCAGTTACCTCTACAAAAATAACAATAAGTCATACTTACAGGTTATTTCCAAAAAGATTTTTATCTGCAAAATTATGAGTTTTAGCCACAAAATTGTTTAATTGCCATTCAGGAAATGTCATAAAACAGTGCAAAATTATAGGTATAAAAATCTCTCCTCCATAATTAACTGTGGCTTTTATTTACCAATCTCATTACAATTTGTGTCACGTCAGCTACTCGGCTGCTAGTGCATTCCCTCATGAGGGGGGTTCTGCTGCAGTCGTCAGCTCTGGCATGTTTGCTTTATTGTGTCATTTTTTTAATATAATTTACTTTGTAATACTTATGATTACTGTTATGTGTTTTACTGTACAGTGGCTTGCGAAAGTATTCAAACCCCCTCATTTTTTTATTTTATTTTTTACATTTTACTAGTTCACACTTACAAATAAGTTAGATAGAATAAATGGTATGCATATTTGCCGTGCTGTCCAGAGAGAGTGCTCCGAGCTCGGATATTGGGCCCGAACCCAGAGTACTCCCCCCTTATTGCTGGTCAGGAAGTAACCAGGCGAGTGTGAGGACACGGGACGCTGATGATGGTCACTCTGGTTGAGCTCCATGATCATATATGGAAATGGGAGAAATTTACAGAAGGACAAACATCATGGCAACACCACCAATCTAGGCTTTATGGAAGAGTGTCCAGTCTCAAGCCTCTCCTCGCTGAAGACACATTAAAACCCACTTGGCTGCAAAATACAGTCTTAGCCTTAATAAAAAACCTAGTCCAGAGCATTCAGAACCTCAGACTGGGCAGAAGGTTCACCTTCCAACAGGACAATGACCCTAAGCACACAGCTAAGACAATGCAAGAGTGGCTTATGGACAACTCTGTAAATGTCCTTGAGTAGCCCAGCCAGAGCCTGGGCTTGAACCCAATCGAACATCTCTGAAGAAACCTTACAATGTCTGTCCACCGATGGTCCCCATCCAACCTGACAGATCTAAGGAGAAGAACAGCAGAAAATCGCCAACTGCAGATGTGCCAAGCTTGTCACATTATACCCCAAAAGACTTTAAGGGCTGTAAAGGTGCTTTACCTACAGTAAAGGGTTTGAATACGTGTGCAATATACTTATTTCAGTTTTTTAAGGTTGTCATATAGATCTGTTTTTTGCTTTGTCATTATGGTGTATGGAGTGTAGATTAATGTGGGAAAATGTCATTTAAAGTAGTTTAACATAAGGCAGCAACCTTGCAAACAGTGAGTTCCAGGGGGAAGTTATTACTCCACAGTCCACACTTTAACCTACTAATGTAGTTTTTATTTAAAACGTCTTAATAATTATAGTGCACTCAAGTTTTTGCCTAAAAAAAAACGTTTTCCATGTTATTCTTTTTCCATGTTCCAAGAAGATAATTTCATGAATAAGTACAGGTGAAACTCGAAAAATTAGAATATCGTGCAAAAGTTCATTTATTTCAGTAATTCAACTTAAAAGGTGAAACTAATATATTATATAGACTCATTGCATGCAAAGTGAGATATTTCAAGCCTTTATTTGTTATAATTTTGATGATTATGGCTTACAGCTTATGAAAACCCCAAATTCAAAATTAGAATATTGTGAAGAGGTTTTCATAAGCTGTAAGCCATAATCATCAAAATTATAACAAATAAAGGCTTGAAATATCTCACTTTGCATGTAATGAGTCTATATAATATATTAGTTTCACCTTTAAGAATTACTGAAATAAATTAACTTTTGCACAATATTCTAATTTTTCGAGTTTCACCTGTATTTCATTCAGGATGAAAGACTTATTTCCAATTACAGCAATTACAGTCTAGTGTTTCTTTTGGAGCATTGTACACTTAGAAAATACATTTTTGCTAATTTGGGCAAATTTGGATTGAACAATTTTCCAAAATTAGAGGGGGAAATGTTAATTTTTATTCTCTCAGTTCTGACAGGGTCATTCTATAATACCTTTTCTCCCAAGCCATTCCTTCATTGTTTTTGCTGTATGTTATTCCAACACCATAATGATACAAAAGGTATTATCTGGGTGTTGCTATATATGGCTTGCACCAAACACAGCTTCACTTTCAGACATTTTTTATCACTTTAATCAGACAAATTCATCTTAAACTTCCCCAGGCATCTCCTTGATCCTCATGACAGAAACCTAATCTGATCTGCTATTTTAGTTCTGAGACCTCACAAAGGCTGTGACATTCATGGTGAAATCAAGCTCATGTGCATTGAAAAAGTGTGCTTTGTTATTGCTTAAGATAATGAAGTATCTCAACTGGTATACATTGTTAAAATAAAAAGTTTGTTTTTAGCTGGGATTTTAAAATATCTACTTGATTCAGATTTGACTAATTTTAAGGATATTTAAATATCAAACACTTGAATCATCATAGAAAAATCCTGGTACAGAATAAGATATAATTGGTATTAGTGACAACACTGTAGATGTTAAATACTGACAGACACACACTACTAAAAAATGCAAGACAAAAGAGTTTACATTCAGAGTTTTTATTTGGCTTGCTTCTGAGGACTGGCTTCTTCCACAATAAGAATCCAGTGTACACTGAAACCACCGTTACGGTACTTAACAAAGTAGCTCATACTGCACAAACACTGAAAAGCTTATCCAGCATTCATTCACAGAGTTTATTTGCTGGATTAAACCCATACAGAAAAGTACATAAGACCAGGCACAGAATTAGAAATGCAAATGTTCACTTACATAGAAATGGATAAAAAACACAAAAGTATTTACATTTTTGAATTGTGCACTTCATACATATACTTTGTCACCTAAATAAATCTTTACGGCCGTATACACACAACAGAATAAACCAGAAGAATGATATAATCTTTGATAAAAAAGTTTCCCCAAAATATAAACATCAATATTTGTTGAACAATTTTCCAAAATCATTAGCATCAGTTGTTGTACAGTAAATGTATTTGGCAGTGAATAAAATTCTTTGTTCCTTTAGAAGCTGTGAACCTGCATTCAGCAGTTTCTGGCCATATGCAGTGAATTTACAGACGCGAGTCACGCGATACTCAGTTTAAATGTGTAGTGAAGTGCTGTTCCAAAACCGGACTTATTATTGACTGAATATATGAATTATGATTTACTGCAAGGCAAATGTCATCATCACTGTTTTTGTGTGTGTGTGCGTGTGTGTGTGTGTCATGAACACTGATTTTACACTGGAAATAATTAATGAAAAAGCAGAAGATAGAGCTCTCGTGCAAATCTTTCGTGCAAAAGCTTCAAAGACAACACTATTTCTTATTTGAAAAATACATGCATTTAATAATTGTTGAATTTGAGACCGTATGAAACACAGTTTTGAGTTGGAGCTATATAATGAATTGCCTCTGCAGAGATAGGTGCTTTAGTGCTAAGAATTGCAGATTGTTTTATTTTTATTCATATCTTTTTTTTTCTTTTCTTTTTTTTTTTTCTTTTTTTATATATATTTTTTAATTTGACAAATTATTGATATTAATTTAAAAGGGACATGTTCAATTTTTTTATCATATTGTTGTAAGAACCTGTCACTCACATGAGATTGCTCAATTTGCAAACAACAACAATCCAACGTTCCAATCAATTCCCGATGGACAATAGAGAAGAATAGAAGATCACAATTTCCGTTTCATGCTGACTTTAGGGATGCTGAGTAGAGGCCTTGTTTAACCAATGTGTTAAAGGTGATGCTTGCTTGACTTAGTCATTTCTTCATAAAGTAGATAAACAGAATAAAAACAAGAGCTTGAGAGATTTTGTAATAAGGAAACTGAAGAAGCAAACCACAAGAGTGATGACATACAGTCTTTAGAGAGTGTAGAAGTTTGTGTGTGGGGAACTCACAATTTTTTCACACAAACACTCCTCCAAAATCGTACCCATCCTAAAGACCCGCAGACAGACTGGCTCCTTGACTGGCCTACAATGCCTTCTCCTGTTTCTGCTGCGGAGGAGAGCTTTGGTGGAGCTCAGGATACACCAGGAAGCCCGTGAAAGTGATATACTTGGCGTGATTACTGTAAGCACCAAATCCATCCCTCTGGTGGCTGTAGAGCCAGACAGTGTCTCCATCCTGCAGTGACAACATCAGGCTCTGGCTCTGCAGGGCCTTCTCAGTGTCGCTGTCATCGTAGATCATGGTCTGTACCTCCAAATGGTTCTTCATCAGCTTCACTGACAGGGTCTTATGGGGCAGCTTACCAGCATTGAAGGAGAAGTAATAGGCTCCTGGTACACTGCATTTGAATATACCAGAGCTTAAGTTGAAGTCGTTGCCGATGTTGACAAACTCAGTGTCAAAGATGATGGGCTGGTGCTCAGGGTATCCTTGATCCACTCCCACAATACTCTGAGTGCGGCCCACTGAGAATGCAGACCTCTGGTCGTCGTCTTCCTCCTCTCCAATTCTCCCATCCTCCTCTTTTATCTCTTCATCCCTTCTCTCTTCTTTCATACTCACACCAGTGTCTTTGGTAATTGTATTTTCGTGCTCAGACAGTAAGTGATCACTGA